AGAGGATTCACCAGAGACAGTGGAGAGCAGAACAGGCAGATCGACTGAAATATACACTGCTAAGGGGAGCAGCAGGCGAGACAGGAGAGGTCTTCTGCTCATGTGGGTTAGCTACCTGGTCTGGGATTGAACTTGTGCTGCAATAGCTCAGATAGTTTCATAGTACTGAGACTTAACTCCTTGCACCACCAAGGAACCCAGCACAGATACTTCTTAAGCTATATTTTGTGCCCCCATTTCTTTAAATCCCCCATTTATTTCTTATCCCTCAGGGTTTACTGTCCTCTCTGGTCTCTAGTGTCCTAAAAACCATTTTTTTATTTAAGTGAAATTCATGTTTTTAAGTGTATGATTCAGTGGCATTAGTATATTCACAATATTGTGCAACCATCACTTGTATCATTTCATTTTTATAGCCCCAAAAGAAAATTCTGAACCTGTTAACCACTCACTCTCTTGTTTCATGAATTCAAAAATACTAAGATGCCTTTTGTACTTCTCTCACAAGTGAACAGTGAAGTTTTCTAAAACCTACCTAACAAAAACATTGTTAACATAGTGAAAGAAGTAGATATGAACATATAGCTATCAAGCAAGAGTTGAAGAAATTTGAAAATAAAGTGAATATTTTAAAATATTGTTTTAATTTTTAATAGAGTAAGTATAGATATTATCATCGTCATTTCAGAAATGAAGAAAATGGGGTTTAAAAAGTTAAGTAATTTGCCTAAGAGGTAGAAGGAGATTCATAAAAAAGCTGTAGGACTCCAGAACCCAAGCTCTTAATCCCTGTTTGTGCTCACCTATTAGCTACTTATCTGGCTCCTACCTACTTATCTTGGGGTTTTCTTTCTCTTGTATCATATTCAAGTAATCACTTCTCTACTCTAGCCTGTGTTCTTCAAACATAGGTACTTCTTAAACTCTATTTTGAAAAAAGCAATTCCTACCTGTACCTCACTACAATAAGACAGCATACTCTCCCAATGACTTCTTTAAATCAGACAAATTTAAGATTGTCAACCTATCAGTTACAGATAGGATATAATCCCTTTGATCTGAGGATCTTGCCCTTTGTTTACAGCAATGCCAACTGCATGGTGGGTAACATGACAACTCTTCCAGCATTAACATTGATGGTAATATTGGTGGGGCATTCCTTTTTGAACAGTGCCCATCCCAATCCCCCAATACCACCTTTCTTGTAGATTCCCAGGTATGTGGCCAAAGGAAAGACTCCATGTTTTCTGAAAGTCCTAGAGAACATATACAGAACATATATAGTCCTAGAGAACATATACAGCAGGTACCTCTCCTCTTTCCCTTTTTGTTGGTGATGTTGGTGACTAACTGGAGATGGCAGTTCTGGCCAAAAGGAAGACTAGATTTTTTATTTGTAATTGTCCTTAGATATAATAAGCATTTTTCTGTCATTAAATATTCTTTAATTAGGGCCTCCCCGGTGGCGCAGCGGTTGAGCGCTGGGTTGCGAAGCTGCCTGCGGCCTCTGCGGCGCCGGTTCGAACCCCGGCTGCTCCCCGGCCATCGGAGGAGGGTCCCACATGGCGCGCAGACCTCTCCTGTCGCCAGCTGCTCCCCTCAGCAGTGTTCTTCGGTCCCTCTGCCTGCTCTGCTCCCCACTTTGGCTCTGGTGAATTCTCTCACCCTCCCGCGCTTCTGACTGTACCCAGTGCTTATATAAACAAAACAAATAAATAATAAATAAATAAAACATGCCTCTATAAAAAAAATTCTTTAATTAAAGAAATAAACTTTTAAATGGCTATATTGTCTTTTACTATATGTACACTGTATAATTTATTTAGTTATTCCCGTAATGTTGAGTTTTAAATAGTTTTGCTATGTCATCTTTTTACCTATAATATGTAAAATTGTGCAGAATGCTACTTTGAAGCCAAACCATCCACCTTAATTTGTGCCTTGCCTGCTTTCCTCTACACTAGCTCTCTCCCCCACCCCCACAAAATCAGGAAAGAATAAAACATCACAAGCATTTTATGGCAAAATCCTCTTTGTATGAAAGCCATCGCAGAGACAATGCTGGGTTTATGAAATAACTTGACTAATGGATAAAAGACATGAATGCTTATAAGCCTTAGAAGTAATTTGAGGCTTTGTGTATCCTAATTTGTTAATCAAGGGAAAAATGAGAAATAATGGCATCTTTTATTTCCCATTATCATAATACATTTTTAAAAACAAAATACTCAAAGCTAAATCAACAATTTCTAATTATGAAGAATAACCTTGATCCCCTCCAAGTGGGATTTCCAAATTTTATACTACTATGTTATTACCTAAGAAAGATGCCATGCTAATGACTATGGAAAGTGGTATAGTAATATATAAAATAAATACAACAAAGCAAGTTTCATTTGATATTTAAGAAACATGGATTACAGCAAGGTGCTTTTGAATCAAATTCCCTAGCTTTAGATTCTGATTAAAATAATTTAAATTTCTGCATTCTTGAATGTCCAACCCTTTCTATAGAAACATTTTTTAAAAGTCTACAAGTAAAAAATATTTTACATAACAAAAGTAAAATTAAAAAAAGATATTAATATTTGCCTATCAAGTTGGCATTGACTTTTAAAAATTATACTTGATGTTGGCAAGGATGTAGAGACAGAAATTGTCTTTCTGCAAGACAATGTAGCAGTATGTTTCTCTGTCAATCAGAGATTCCACAAATCTGTGGCTGCAAGTAAAATGCAGTCTACACGCTTAGGAGGAACTAACTTTGGTGCTGATATAATCCGAATATGGCTATTGATTAAAAGATTTGAGAACATCAAATACGTTGTCAATTTCTGTTATTTCAAATTAAAATTTATGAAATTATTTTCCAGTTAATAAAGATCTGGACATTTACTGTATACAAAAGGCCTTAACAATTTCCTAAATAGCTATATGTAGCTAATGGAATAAAATAGCACTACCATGAAAGAGGCTTAATGACCTGCCAGGGAGCACAGACACTCCATAAATCCATTTTTGAAGTTATGAATATGCTGTTTTATACATTCATTTCCTGGAGAAAAAAAAAATCTAAAATACTACCTGTTGCCTAAAGTAGACAAGAGTATTCCTGTCTTTCCATTAATAATACCAAACCAAATACATGGTTTTTACTTATTTCTGGAAAAAATTAAGAGGGACATGTAAAAGAGATAGGTGATTTTTTTTTTTTTTTTAAGCTGATCTCTCTTCTCCTGACTTACATTAACCAGGCTCAAAACACCAAGTTATTCAGCTTACTCCCTAAGGTCCATCAGTTACCTAGTCCTGAAAATTATATACTGGAAACCACAATCAGAATACTTCTTTCACTCATTCAAGCCCTCAATCTTTCTTGCTGGACTCCAAATATATAAGGAGTGTATTCTAATATATTCTAGGCTCCTTAAAGCCCAGGTTAGATGACTCACACTGTCCCTTGAGCATGGCTATTGCTTTCAAGCCCTGCTTTGCTATGAAATCTTCATTCTATCTGGAATATGAATATGGTCCCTTTCCATTTCCACCCATCAACATCCAATATGTTCTTTAAGGTTTATTTTAATTATCCAGAATATGCAAATATTACCATATACCTTTCTCTAGTCCACAGGAGACATCATTAGTTGACGTCAGACTCCTTCTCAAAATCCTTCTCAATGGTCCTATGCAATCCTTACTAATCCATCCATGTTGTCATACAAAATGAAATTTATCTGCCTTTCTTGTAGCAATCTAATGTAATTGCCCTCTTCTCCTACTTCCAAAGTTCTTTGCACTCATATGGAACTTATCTCCTCTCCTATTAAGAATCATTTACTTAATTGTCTTATTTCTCTTTCCTATTATATTTTAATCTGCTCAAGGGCAGTAATTATGTCTTATTTGTCTTCATATCCCCTACAGTCCTACACTAAGTAAGGCATTCAAACAGTTGCTGCATTGAATACTTTATTTTTTTGTTATTATCTCATCATTCAAAATGGCTAAATATGAAAGTGTTTTATTTTAATTTAAACAATTAAATTCTTCTGGAAGGACTAATTAGCCCAAGACTATTTCATCAATTTTAGCTGAATACTTCTGCTTGAATTTAATAAGCTACTGTCTGATATCACACATTAACAACAGAGTGAAAGGATAAAACAAGATAAGCTGAGAGGTTGAACCCACTTTGAGAGTCTAATATCCAGCTTTGGAGGTTAATAAATTAAATGACCATACTTTTGGGAAATATTGGAAGAAATACGTCATTTCTGACAAAAGAGAACTAAAGGATTCTGATCCTCAAAAATATACAGTTTTGGGGCATCCCTCGTGGTGCAAGGGGTTAAGACGCAGCCTATGTAGCTGTCCGCAGCCACTGCAGCATGAGTTCAATCTCTGGCCTGCCAGGGAGCAACCCACATGGCGCAGTAGACCTCTCCTGACTCGCCAGCTCCCCTCAGCAGTGTACTTCAGTCAATCCGCCTGTCCTGTTCCCCACTCTGTCTCTGGTGAATCCTCTCACCTCCTCACACCTCTGGCCTATACCCCAGTTCTTGTATGCATAAATAAATAAATCTTTTTTAAAAAAAAAAATTGTGTGTATATATATACACACAATTTTGGGGCCTCCCGAGTGGCGCAGTGGTTAAAGTCTCAGCGCTATCAAGCTATTGCCAGCCACTGCGGCATGAGTTTGATCCCTGGCCAGGGAGCTAACCCACAGCAGACCTCTCCAATCTTGCCCACTGCTCCCCTCAGCAGTATATATCAGTAGATCTACCTTTTCTGCTCCCCACACTGTCTCCTGTGAATCTTCTCACCCTCCACACCTCTGGCCTACACCCCACCTCTTGTATGCATAAATAAATAAATAAATAATAAATCTTAAAAAATATATATATACATACACACAGTTTACAAAAGAAACTGTTTAAAAGATGGAGAGATAAAAAGGAAAAGAAAAAGTTAAAAACCATGCAAGGTATCAACAAAATTAAGCAAGTAGTCTGGTAAAACAAGAAGAAATTTTTTAAAATCCTAAATCAGGAACTCCGTTGAAGAGATGGGGAGAAGAAAAGCTAGCAGTACAGTAAGACTCATACTGCCATCTAGAGGTTGAAGGCTAGATTTTTCGCCTCAGTCAAGAGCAGTTTAATTGAACTTTCAAGCATTACAAACTTAGGACTGAATAGGCCTTATAAACTAAGCCAGACAAATAACTCTTATGTCAGAACACAAAGACTACCCAGGGTATAAGAGTACCAGTTATTCTCCCCCTGCCTACCTTCATAGATTGAAATTCCATTTATCTGAAATGTCCAGGTTAGAGAAAAATCACAGAGACAGAAAGCAGATTAGTGGTAGCCTAGACCTGTAGAGTTTAGGGGAAAATGACTGCTAATGGGTACAATGTTTCTTTTGGTGGCAATGAAAATGTTCTAAAGTTGATTGTATTGTGGTAATGACTGCACAACTCTTGAGCACACCAAATCACTGAAATGCAAGCTAAATGGTGAATTGTAAAGTATGTGAACTATATCACAATAAAGCTGTTATAAAAAGAAGAAAAAATAACAAATGTATGAAAGCCCCAAGTTTTAGTCCTAGTTTCAAACGGCATGTTGGCAAAAATATGGGGAATACGGCCACTAAGTTGGGCATCTGCATGACTACTAAAAGGTTTGTAGCCTTCAGAGTGGGGAAACATTTAAGAACAGGATTCACGATAGTTCAATGGGCCTTAGGATAAAGCAATCAATGTACTGTTGCAACTTATAAGACTAAATCAGGAAACCCAAATTGTAATAGCAATGGAGTAGGGTTCAAGTAGAAGATAATACCAAGAAGATTAACAAGATTCACACTCTCTCTACTATGTGTGGTCGATCATCCATTGTCATAAGAGGAAAAATTCTAGAAATCACAAGAACTTCAAATGTTACTTCCCATCACTGAAACACAAACTATGCATAAAAAGAACAATTTCCAGAAGTGTCTACCTTTTCAGTAACTGGGTTTCATTAGAAAAATTCTGTCATTTCATCTGAAGGCATCTACAGTTAGTCATTCATTCAATCAGCAAGTACACATTGCACATTAACTATATGCCAAGTACTCTATGGGTTACAAAGAGAGTTCAAAAATATTCTTACCTTAGAGTTACAATAAATCCAAGAGATAAGATATATACCAACAATCTCCCAGCAGAGCAAAGTATCATACAATTGAAACTAACTGCTCTAGAAACAATTTTGGCAGGCCAGGAAAGAGCTCACTTTCCAGATCAGGTATAAAAAGGAAAGGATGATAGAAGAGGTAGATTCTAGGCTGAACAATGAAGGATGAACAAAAGTTCTAATATTATAAATAGGTCAGGGAGGCTTTTCTGAGAAAAAGGAATAGTATAAATAAATAAAGATGCAAGAATGTTCCAGAAACAGTATTACAAATGGGAACAGTACATGTTTTGGTAGAGGAGAACTAAGAGGCTAAAGTCAGAATGTAGAGGATTGAATGCCATGCTAAAGAATCCAAATTTTATTATACGATTAATGAAATACTATCAACAACTTAAGAGCAAAGGATAAAAGAAGCAAATGGTACTTTAGAAATATTACTATAGTAGTGATAAACAAGATGGACTGGAACAGGGTCATTGAGAGGCAAAACAGACTTGTTAGAAGGTGACTACAATAGTTCCAGTAAAACAGGAAGGACACTGAACTCAGAAGTTACAGAAACAGAATTCTTTATACGGTAGGGCAGGTTACAATTCTTTGTATTTCAATGTATTTCAAGGGAATTTCATATAAATTAACCACCCATTTGAGCCATGGTGCCTCAGTGACAAAAGTTATAAATACCTATGCAAAAAAGTATTGCATTCTAAAGTCTGCACACCAAAAGGGTTAACTGTGACATAATCAAGTTCCAAATCAAAGGGTAGGGTTCATCTTCCAGAAGATTACAATCTAGTTACTACTAGTCCTAGTAGGTCCACGTTATTTCTATACTAACATTTAACAATGCTCTAGGGAAGTGACAATCATGTTTAGAGGACAAATATTTTTTGCATTTTGTTCTTTCCATCATCTTTATCGGGGCAGATATTTGCATGAAAACAGGATCACTGGTCCTTGGGGATTCATCAGTTCCTATCGCTTATTTTTCATCCATGTCATCCTTTCAATTAATGCAGAAAAGAGGACTGAGATATCGAAACACCAGATTAGGGTGTCAAGTAAATGTCAACCTCTAGAGTAGATGAATAATCTGTAAGGACAAAAAAAAAAAAAAAATTCTTGCTTTCATGCATATATGCTATACACAATAAAACAAAGAAAAACTGCATTCAAGAAGTCTAATACATTTCAGTGTAATTCTTTCCATTCTAATTTTAAAAATTATTTTCTTTATGTTAACAGTTAAATTTGCATTGGTCAGGGAAAAATGACAATTAAGAAGTCTAATACATTTCAGTGTAATTTTTTCCATTCTAATTTTAAAAATTATTTTCTTTATGTTAACAGTTAAATTTGCATTGGTCAGGGAAAAATGACAATTATAAAACACCGCTACAGAAGTTGCAAGGCTGGAATTTTGAAATAGAAAATAATTTTTTATAAAACTCAGCTATGCTCATAGGACTCAACCAGCAGAAACAAGCATTTCTAACACATAATTTTGGTTCAGTCTCAAGATGGCTGAGTTTGGTGACTTCAAACCCCCATCTCAAAGCCTTATGTTTTTTAGAAATGCAAAAACTTAATGATAATGGTTTTAACTGTGTGAATTAAAAATTAAAACAAACTACACCAAGTTTCTGATTCAGTGGAAAGTCATTAAAATAGACTTTATTAATGCTTAGGGAACTGACTCATTTTTCTAAAAACTGATAAAGAGAAAGAATAGTTTACCTAGTTAAGAGCAGCTTTCAAGGTAAAATAAAGTCCATGATAGAAAAATTCTATCTAATAAGAATGAATGGGGCCTCCCCAGGTGGCGCAGCGGTTGAGCGCTGGGCTGCGAAGCTGCCCGCGGCCTCTGCAGCGCCGGTTCGATCCCCGGCTGCCAGGCGAGGGTCCCACATGGCGCGCAGACCTCTCCTGCCGCCCGCTGCTCCCCTCAGCAGTGTACTTCGTCAGTCTGCCTGCTCTGCTCTCCCCTCTGGCTCTGGTGAATTCTCTCACCCTCCCGTGCTTCTGACTGTACCCAGTGCTTGTATAAATAAGTAAATAAATATTTAAAAAAAAAAAGAATGAATGACAGAATCAAAATATTACTGTTTTGCAACCTATGATAAAATAGTAGATCTAGGTAGTTACCAAAGTAACTGATGAATAACAGATCAGGGTAACAATACCTTTATCAACTAATTAATCTTAACATCACAATTAGATACAAGCAGACACAATGGACTTCTGATGGATGTATATAGTATTTACAAAATTTTCTTGCCAAAATAAAAATAAAGCCTGTATCAGTGCTTTTAAATTTAGCTACTAGAAAATAAAAAGAAATAGATGACCATACTAAGTGCTTTCATAGGGATGTAAACAAAAAATCTACAGAACAAATTCTGCGAAAAAATTCTACAGAACAAATAACTAGCTAGGTTTACTAAATGGCAAAGGAAAGTAAAAGGGAGGTAGAACCAAGACAGATTAAGATACTTAAGAGAAATACCTATCAAATATGGTATATGAACCTTATTTAGATATGATTCAAACAAATTAACTGTAACAACTATGAGTCAACCATGGACATCCAAATTAAGCAGGTCTGCTAAGCTTTTAGGCATAATAATGGAATCGAGGCAATATTTTTTTAAAGAGAGAGAGAAAAAGAAAGAATCCCTGTCTTCTGGGAAATAATATGAAGATATTTGGCAATAAATAAGATGCCTGAGATTTGCTTTGAAATTATAGGAGATCAGTATAAGTAAAACAGATAGGTTATAATATTGAAGATGCATCCTGATCATTATTCTGCTTTCTTGACTTTGGTATTATGTCTAAAATTTTCCAAAATAAAAAGTGGAGCAAGAAATACGTCATTATCTTTCTCAGTAGGAATACAGAAAAACTAACCTGAGGGAAAATAGTAATTTCAACTACAACTAATTGACAAAAATGCTACTGATAAATACACTTGGTAATATAGCATCTCTTGAGAGAAAAAGCATAAAATTCATTTCATTAAAAAAAGTGACACAGAGGTAAAGAACTGATCATTATAACTGTTACAGCACTTACTATCCAGAAACAGACTCTATACTATTGAAACCTCACATCTATGAATTTAAAACTCACAGATTTGTCTTTCATTATAAACTCTGGAAGCCCATGACATACACAGTAGCTACTAATTTTAACCAAGACATTAATCATGAGAAATAAACAACCATGACAGAGAGATTTAGAAGCAATAAGTAAACTTAGCAAACCACTAAAAACCTATCACAAAGCAGTTTGTTGTTCTCTATTTCTTGACTGATGAAGTGATTAAAAAATGTCTTCTTGATAAAAGAAAGTCAACTCTAATGACAATAATGTAAATAAAGAAAAGGTAGAGGGCTAAGAACTGATTAGTCAAAAATTACAGCTTTTAAGGTGAAATGTTGAATTTGGCAATAAGTTAAATCAGTGACATGAACAAATCCACTACATGCTTCTGTGATGAAAAAAAAAAACCATTTTGAAACTGTTTGTGGGATTTTGCTAATCAGTATAAAACTTGTATTTTTGAAGAAATTATAAGCCATAGTAGTCTCTCAAACTGCATTTATGAATGTTTCAGAAGGTACCCATTGAGAACAAAGTCCCAGTCACTGTATTTACATTGAGAATCTCTTTCCGTTGCTAAGTGAAGATTTCCTACAATTTCTTCTTCAATTTTGTAATGAATACAGAATGGGAAAAGATACAATTTATAAAGAAATAATTTTAAACTAAAAAGTGGAGAGCAGACAGGAACAAATGAGAACTTTTGAAACATTACTCATGGCAGCAGATTATGTTCCTGACCTGCTATACATCCTTTCTTTTAGGAAACTAATCCTCCCTTCCCATTCCATCTAAGTCTGACTAACCCTTCAATCTGCATCTACACTGTGGGCCCAGGCCTGGTCCATCAGAGTGTTCCATGCAACCTAGCAAAAGACCTGGATTTAGGATAGGTATGTGAACGACAATGGAATTATCAGAGTCCTCCCAGGACCTTTCTTTTTAAACTCTCAGAAAACATGTTCTTTCTTTTTGGGATTATGATATTTAAAGACACAAACTGGAGCTCCTTTTGGCCACCGTCTCCAGTGCTGGTTCAAATAAGCCTTATACATGAGTGAAGCAGTGCCTTGAGATGCAAAACAAAACCAAGTGTACATCCCAATGACATCATTAAGTCATGGATTTAGATATGCTCAAAACTATTTTGATTTATGGAAACTAAAGTTCCTCTTTTGCTTAAGCTAGTTTGAATTGACATCCTGTTACTTAAAACTGAAAGGGTTCCCAATGTACTATTAGTGTATAGAGAAAAATCACTTGTTACCCAGTAGACTCAGTGATTAATAAACACATTCTCACAAAAGGCAGTGATTTCTTATCTCCAGAACATTTAATAAAGATACTTTCTGAATTATAGCTAGAATGAAATAGACAACATGTAACCCTGAATAAATATGATCTGAGTACTTACATTCATCCAACCCCAGCTGATAGGCCAGGTTCTGTAGTCCTCGCACCTTCTCCATCAAATTAGCTGTTGTGAGGCTCCCCAATTCTGAAATAGAATCATTTATTTAAATACCATTTTTTTTCTGTTCTACAGTAACAATTAATTTGGGTTCTGAAACCCTGTTATAAAAGTTTTCAAGCTTAATTTCTATAGAATACATGGAAAATGCACCCATATCTTTTCTTCTCATCCAATCATCCTTTCCCCTTGCCTTTCTTCCCCTCCGCTCCCCTCCCTTCTCCCTCACACACACATCAGTGAATTTTCCATAAATGTAAAATGTGTCAATTGAGCTTATCTACTTGCTTATCTACTTCAAAAGATTTAGCATAAATACAATAGCAAATTACATGTGTAGTCTAAAGATCCTTTCATAACATTTTGCCTAGCATATAAAATGAACACACCATTAAAATATGAAGCCTTATATGATGTCATACAGCACTGTGAAGGCATCACAGAGCTCTGTCTTACAAAATGTATAAGTCTGCCCTGTTATTTATAAGTCCTCAATATTATAATTAACGATCAAATAGCAACTAAAAATTCTTATTATTTCTCATTTCCCTAAGTTTAGAAAACAAAAAATAAATTACAGTGTACTTAAATAAAAACTTACTTTACCAGATTTTCATTTAAATAGCACCCAATTCCTTTTAGGTTTAAGACATTGCTCAATTGAAACATGAAACATAATGCTATGATCCCTTATTAAAAATCTAAAGTTTCCATAGAAAATACATACTAAGAGGATATTAGATAAATGTCTGCTTGAAACATTAGAACAATGAACCTGGGATGCCCTTGAAACTTAATTTTTCCATGGTTGGAGGAGGGGATCTACATTTAAGCAGGACAATAAATTACTTCTGAAATCGAATAAAGATGTTATTTTCTCCCACTTATCATGTCACATTCATCTATATCTGGTATAAGTAGACTTTCTTGATCTGTTCTGCTGCCTAAATAGCTCAGGAATCCCAGATTTTTACCTTAATTTCAGTTTATTACTTCATAACCATCATGAATTTTATCACCAGATGGATGATAAAAAATTAATTTAAATTCCCACTTTATGGTTGCGTTCCAAATCATCTATTAAACAACAATATCCACTACTTATAGTATTCTATTTATAGGAGAAAGTGCTGGAATAGAAAGAAGACATGTCTAACCCACTATGGTATTGTTAGTTAATAGTATTGATAACAATGTATGGCACTAAAACCTAAATAAGGCATTTGTGTTATAGTGGAAAGAGACTTAAAAGATTAGAATTTAAATTTTAACTGTTTCTAATATATCTTAAGTTAACCTCTGAATCTTAAGATATTATATCTAACTCACAAGACCTTTATAAGAATTAAATGTGAGACCTATTTGGCCACTGTAAGCAGTCTATAAAATAAAATTAATATTAAAAGAATTTAGCAACGGAAAACATTATGACTGAGTCTTGAACTGGCAGGATTTCTACACATGGACAAGTAAAGAAAGGCATTCAGACACAAATAACTATGAATGAGGACAGTTAAGTAAGCAGTTTGACTGAAACTGAGAATACTTGTAAGAAAAGAACGAGAGGGTCTCCCTGATGCCTCAAGGGGTTAAGCACAGTGCTATAAAGCTACCCGCAACCTCTGCAGCACGAGTTTGATTCCTACTGGCCATTGAGCTATCCACATGGCGCAGACCTCTCCTGTCTCACCCAGTGCTCCCCTCAGTAGTGTGTTTCAGTCAGTCTGCCTGTTCTGTTCCCCACTCTGTCTCTGGTGAATCCTCTCATTCCCTGTGCCTCTGGCCTGTACCCCAGTTCTTGTATGCGTAAATAAATAAATTAAAAAAAAAAATAAGAACAAGAGGAACTGGAAAAGTGGTTTCTGGAAGAACATAAATGGCAGGTTAAAAGTCAGAGGTCACTGACTTTTAACCTTTTTACAAAGGTAAGCTTTGCTTACCTTTCAACATGTCGATGTCATCACGTTCTATTTCAGCCATCCATTTGGGTGGAGAGCTAGTAATAGGCTGTCAGAAAATAAGAATATATCTATTCAGATACACACAAAGCATGAAGAGTCCCTATTCTTCCTTCTTATAAAAAAATAGTTTATTAATCTTCAGGTTCCTTGAAAACACTGGCAGATTTCTCCAGGTTCAGAAAATGACTTGCAAATAGTCACCACACAAACTAATACTGCTCATCTTTAAAGTTACTCAGAGAAATAATTTAGAAGAATTAGGTCTGACTACTGTTACACTTATGTGCATAACAGGTTAGCATAGTAACAGAAGAAATTACTTGAAATTCAGATCTGGCAAAAGCTTCCAACTGAGCTATCTGGAACACTCTCTGGCAGAGGAGAAGATTTAAAGAATCAAGAATGAGAAAATCCTTAATTTAAATGAGAAAAGACAGATGATTGTCACTTGAAATTTCATTTTACACATGGACTGTTTTAAAAACTTCACAATTTTAAGTAATCTTTTTTTTAATAATTTTTTTTTTTAATAGAGGCATGTTTTTATTTATTTATTTATTTGTTTGTTTGTTTTGTTTACACATGCACTGGGTACAGTCAGAAGCACGGGAGGGTGAGAGAACTCACCAGAGCCAGAGCGGGGAGCAGAGCAGGCAGAAGGACCAAAGTACACTGCTGAGGGGGGCAGTGGGCGGCAGGAGAGGTCTGCGCGCCATGTGGGACCCTCCTCCAGTGGCCGGGGGGCAGCTGGGGATCAAACCGGCGCTGCAGAGGCTGCGGGCAGCTTCGCAACCCAGCGCTCAACCGCTGCGCCACCGGGGAGGCCCAATTTTAAGTAAGTAATCTTTTTATACCTGAATGTGAACTTATAAAATATGAAAGGGAGCCAGCCCATTTTCAGAACAGACTGGGGGCAACAGTTCTCAATTCCAGTTGCACATGAGCATCACCTATGTAACTAAACAGCTAAAAACAACCTGGTCACGCCCCAGATGTACTGATTTAGAATATCAAGGGTTGGAGAAGGGTCCAATGGAGAGAGCAGAGATGAAATTACATATGGATTTTTTTTTTAAAGTTCACAACTACACATGGATGATTCTCTGTGCACGGAGAGGTAGAGCTGAGAAACATTTCGTCAGCTTTGCGTTCTTTTCCCCTTTTTTTCCATTAACATTTGCATGGTTGTATGTGACAAGCAAAACACTTAATACACATCATGTCAGTGAATTTCCAAATCAGCCCTATGAAGCTGATATTACTATCTTCAGTCTACAAATAAAAAACAAATATAGGAAGATTATAAATCACTTCCTTCAGGTCATGTAGAACCAGGACTCAAAACTCATGTAGTCTGAGTTGAGAAACCACTAATGTATATTACCTCCCCAAGAAGATCCTAGGTCAAATGCACTATTTTTACCCCTGGAGAGATTTTAAATCTGGTGTCTTAAGAACACCTGAACCAGGCCTCCCTGGTGGCGCAGTGGTTGAGTGCTGGGTTGCGAAGCTGCCCGCAGCCTCTGCAGCGCTGGTTCGATCCCCGGCTGCTCCCCAACCACTGGAGGAGGATCCCACATGGTGCGCAGACCTCTCCTGCCGCCCGCTGCTCCCCTCAGCAGTGTGCTTCTGTCCTTCTGCCTGCTCTGCTCCCTACTCTGGCTCTGGTGAATTCTCTCACCCTCCCGTGCTTCTGACTGTACCCAGTGCTTGTATAAATAAATAAATAAATCTTTAAGGAAAAAAAAAAAAGATCAAGTGTAAAAATGTTAGGAAATTTGCTCAGATGGATAACAAGTAGACTCAGGATTCAAATCCAAGAGAACTCCAAAGTCCTACGCTCTTCTGCATGTCTCCTGCTTGGGCCTTATAAGATGCTAAAGGAGCATAAGCCAGCTTCCATATAATTTTCATATAACTTCATACTTAGTTTTCAGTTTAATTATATTTGATTATGAACTCCTGAACAAATGAGAACGGCTACAAAGTCATACTCCCTTTGAACAAACGCTCTCATGGTATCCAAAATCTACAGGTCCACAGTGGCCTTAATATATTTAACTCAACTTTAACTCTAATGTGAGTAGAGAATGCTAAGCATGTAGTAAGGAACTTTAAGAGCTTAACAGAAAGAACATGGCTCTGGAATCAGACAGACCTGCATTCAACTCCCGGGCTGTCATTCACTAGGACTTACTTAGACAAGTAACTTCTAAATTTCTCAGCAAGTCGGTACTTCTAACATTGGTATCAAATGCTTTTAAGTATGGTGTTAGAAGAATGAATACTAGTAGTCAGACTAATGGGTTCAAAGCCTGGATCTGCTAATTTTAGTGGATAACTCTGGGTAACCTACTTAACCTTTCTGTGTCTATTTCCTTGTCATAAACAGGGATAATTATACTTCATGTGGTTTTGTGAAGTTTAAAATATATGTGTTATGTGCTTAGAACAGTATCTGGCACATACACTACGTAAGTGCCAGCTAATATTATAATCATACTCTGCTGGCTGTGAAAACATATAAGAGAACATAAGTAGAGCATCTAGTACAGTGCCTGTTATCCCAGGAGTAGAAAAGCTCTGACTCTAATGAGTATCTTCTTTTGGTTTCTGATAAGCTATTCAGAAATTCCCTAAGGAAATGTAAATCATAATGTATCACATAAAAGAGAAAAGTTTTAAAATCATAGTTTGGGCAAAAAAGGTAGCATTACATTAAATATTTCAACTGCCTTAACCTAAAAGCTTTCAAGCTGAGAAAGTGTCTCATAATCAAAGTTCAAAATACCAAAATAGAGCATTAGGACAGAGGAAGACATTATCATCAATTAACATGATGATAATATAAGCAGACTTCTTGACTGCAGTTACAGTTATTTGAAGATTATTCTTGAAAACAAAGAAATCAGAAACATTTGAGATTTTATGCAGGAGCAAACAGTGGATAAACTTCATTAAGTAAGTAACATAGTACTTACACTTTTGAAGGAAGCTGCAAATTCAGCAACACCTGGTACTAGACAGAAAAAAAAATACAACATCATTCTCTCAGTAAACATTTTAGTGCTCCAAACATAGAGGATTTAAATAATAATAGGAAACCAACCCTGTCTTTAGGAATTTATAGTCTAGAAAAGACAATAAATCAGTAACTATAACATTGTTTAAGTGCTCTAAAAAAGATACCAGGTGCAAAAATGGAAGGGCAAAAAATGAAAACCTACATCAGACTGAGGGGACAGCAAGAAGAACTTCTCAGAGAAAATGAGACCTGCGTCAGAGAAAAGCTTCAACTGAACTATGAAGGATCAAGAATTGGCTGTAAGGGAAGGTGGTGAGATATAATTATCTCTTACCAAAAAATGTAAATTTCCTTTTTAGGTACACTGTTCTGTTTATTTAAATGGCTCAAATAAAGAAGCACATTAAAAAACAGAAAAACAAAAATCAGATATTTAAAAATAATGTTCAACCTTACCAATAAAGAAATACAAACTAAAAATAATAAAGACTAGTAACATCCAATATTAGCTAGTAGGGAGACATTCTCATACAAGTCATCCTCTTCCATAAGCACAAAGCTATAAATGCAAGGATATTCATTGTTGAAATATTATAACATCAAAAACTGCATATAACTTAGGTTTCCAAGTAGGATATGAATACATAAACTACAGTATATCTATACAATAAAATACTTAAAAGAATGAAGTAAATCTATATCTCCTAACATGGAAAGGTACATTAATAAATTACTAGGTGGAATTTAAGTTGTAGACCTTGTACCAATGGCCCCATCATGACACAAAAAACAAACAAAAAATTTCTATATACTTTAAAATATATATTTATTTGCTTATCTGTATAATCAGAAACAAGGTAAAAAGGATTTGTACCAAACGATTAACAGTGGTTAACTCTGTAAGAGTGACTGGAAAAGGCAAGGAAATATTTAATCACCTCTGTATTAGCTGAACTTATTACAGAGATTTTAAAAACAACATTTTTTAAAGGATCCTTGTAATTTCCTGAGTCAAATCATGTTCTGAAAAAAATTCAACTATCAAACATCTACTCTTAATATTGTACCACAGAATTCAATCTCTTCCTTTTAAAATAAAATAAAAATTTGAATCCTTATAGTTAAATGGTAACTCTTCAAAAAATCTCCCTCAAAGTAGCACTGGTTCTCCTGCATCAATTCTGATATAAAGAAACCAAAAACTTACATTGTTCTGGCCAAAGGTCTGGTGAAGCACGGTCAAGTTTTTCAAAACTTAGCAAAGATGCTTCCAGATCTGTCCCTAGAACAAAATGTCCAGATGAGTGAAAAAGACACAAAACACACTGATTTATAACAATTCATTCTCAAAGAACATACACTGAAAAACATCCAGAAATCTAGAGATTTGAATTCTTTACTAATATTACTGTAACTGGTTAGCAAGTCACCTATGTTTAGCAAAATAGGTCATAGATGGCCTTGACAACATTAGTTTTCATGTATGTGAGGGCCAATAAAGCACACAAATAAATCATTTTCCCTCATCAAACCTTACTTTTCTGAACTTTGAAACAGAAGCAATATTTTAGTGAGATGTTAGGAAAAATGAACATCAACAAACCCACTTTCAGAATCTTCACTCAGACTTAGAATTTCCACCTGTTACAAAAATGTCCCTGCAGCCAAGAAAAACAAACCCTTCCCTTACCATACCAAAAACATCACCTTACTCTCTCTTGCACTTCTAGTTTCTACCATTCCTACTGGTTCATACTCAATACCAAGTAAGCCTACTCTAGAATTTCCTTCTTTGAAAGAACTGTCCCTTGACCCCATGACCTCCTACTCCTCCTTCACTGCGGGATCCACTTCTTCATCACACATTCTTTCCTGTCTTCCCATACATGAAGACTAATGTTGTCAAGGCCATTTATGACCTATTTTGCTAAACCTAGGTCACTTGCTAAACAGTGATCACTTCTCTGTTATCTTTTAAATTATGTCTTTGCAGCATTCACACACTGACCATTCCTCTTGAAACACTGGATTTCCAGCTTCTATAAAACACTATGCTGGTTTTTCTCCTACCTCACTGACTCCTTCATTCTCCTCTTCCACTCAGGCTCCAGCCTAAGCTGGCTTCACTTCCCACCTAAAGTCTCCTAAGGAGATCTCAACTAGTCCTATTAGCCATTAGCATCATTTATATACCAATGACACCATATTTATATTTTCAGTCCCAATCTTTCCCCAAACTTCAAAGCTATATATTCAAGTGGCTACTTGACATAGTCCTCCAGTTACACATGTGAAAAGATCCTTCAGTCTAATATGTTCATAACCATATTCCACCTCAAGAAATAGCATTACCATGAACCCCAATTTTCAAATAGAAAACCCACGTGTCATCTTTCATGCCTTTCTTTCCTTTACTCTTCCAAAACTAATCCAATAGTGAACCCAATAGTTTCTCTCCAAAATACGCCTTGAAACCATTAATAACCCCTTAACAGTTCTCCCTGCTCTCATTCTAATCCCTTTCTGTCTGTCCCTACCTGTAAATCTATTCTGCACAGAGTAGCCAGAACTAATTTTTTTAACAGCAGTCAGTTCATATTACTCCACAGCTTAAAGAATGTATATCTATCACTTAACTATGAACACATTTAATGTTTCATACAGTGTTTACCCGTTAAACACGAAACTTAAGATGACTCAGTTAAACTTGAAACTTAAGATGAAGCAATATATTAGTTTTACATCTACATAATCATTCTTTCAATAAATGTCCCTTGGAGGTCTACTACTTGCCTGGGACCCAACCAGGAACAAAAACAGACTTGGCACTTATAAACTAGGGTGAAAGGGGCAAAGTTATCAGAATAACAATGTTGACAGTGAAGGTACTGAATCAGAACATAATGGTGAAGAAGGATAACTCCAGATACTGTGTTGCGGTTGTCTCTACAGCTAAAATAGGGCCTGAAACTGCAAAAAGTCTTCAATCTTTCATCTCCCAATGCACCTAGCATTATGCCTTTTATATAGTAGGTACGAAAATACAGCTTTCCTGGCCTCAATTCCTCATTCCTGAAATGAACATCCAAGATTCCTTCCAAATTTGTATTTCTTTGTTTCTTTGGAAAGGTAAAACTACATTATCAATGAACGTGGGGATGAGAGCGAAAGAAGCAAAAATGAAATGAGTTCAAAAGTGACTGCAAGACCCTACCTCTCTAAAGCAAAGCCAAGAGCTAAAGCGTGTGGCAATAAAAGCACTTAATCACTATCTGATATGATTTGCACCTAGACAACATATAAACAGAAATCGTGCATTCACTCAGTCCGAGGAAAGAACACATAAAGCAGAAGCAAGAGAATTTGAAAAGTGTGCAAAACTACACTAAGACCATCAATTCTCATTTTCCTCAGGTCTTTCATTGCTATGGGTCAAGAATGTCTTCCGCTCCTCTTGCTGCCAGGGCAATGGTACCAATATGAGGAGACGGGAGAGAATCATGTTCCTCTAGCAGTACAGTCCTGGGTGAGGTTAAATCACCAATCCTGCCTGAGGTTTAGGAGAATCGTTCCAGATCCTCAAAGAGAAGAGAAATGATCCTTCAACCCGGCATCTGGAGGAGAAAGCTACAGCAAGGAATCTCCTTTTCCCCCAGCAATATCACCTCCTCCGCCCTCAGCCTCACCCAAAAGGGGTTGAGGGAGGGCCAGGGCGACCCTCGTCCTGTTCCCCCGAATGGATCCCTTAAGGGACCGACGCCTCCAGGTATACAGTGGAGACATAGGGCACCTCTGGCGCCTCCGTGAAGAGCGGTGGCGCTGAAGACGCATCCAAGGAAAAGAAGTGGAAGGGAAAGGGGCCTAAGAAAAAAGTGCAAGTTTGAGGGGCCAAAGGCGAGAGGAAGTTCGCAGGGAGCAGAGGAGGAGGTGGCAGGCTTAGGCTCTCTGAGCCGGCTCTTACCGTCCGTGGGAGACGCCATCTTCCAGCCCATGTCACGTGACCGCGCCAACCGTCGGCGGGAAAGCTGTGCCCGTCAGCCCCGCCCCCGAAGAGAAACCCCGTCCCTCCCTCGCAGGCCCGTCGCACGTCCCCGCCCCGTGGGGCGCTCGGCCTCGCCCCGCCCCGGCGCCGGCCACACCCCCACGCGGCGAGCGGGGTGGGGCGACGGCCGCCTTCTCGGAGACGCTTATTTACGTTCCTCGGGGATGGGGTGGGGCCGCCGCCGTGCGTGCGGCCAATCGGGGTTCCGGGTTAGGGGGCGTCTTCCCCGTGTGCTCAAAATAGCGTGTCCGAGCCTGGGGCGTCTCCCCTGCCGCGGCCAACAGAATCTGGGGGCGCGGGGGAGGCCGCCGCCGTCCACCTCTGGCCAATCGGGCGTCCCGGGCGGGCGTGTGGGGTGGGGTCGGCCGGCGGGCGCGGGGCGGGTCAGGTGACACGCTCCGCTCCTCTAATGAGGCGGCGCGGCCGGGCCGCGGGGCGAGGCCTGGCAGCCCTGGGGGTGTGGGCGGTCTGGGGAGCCGCGGGGCGGCGGAGAAGCGGCGGCCGGAGCCATGGCGGCGGTGGTGGCGGCGGTGGTGGCGGCGGCGGCGGCGCGGGCCCGGATCCTGCAGGCGAGTGCGGGTGGCGCCGACGGAGCGCGAAGCTCGGGATTGGGTCCTCGCGGCCGCCATCGGGGCCATCCCCCTCCCGGCCGGCCCGCGTGTCCCCACCCGCCCGTGCGACCCTGTCCCACCCCTCGGTTTCCGCCCCCGTGGGCTCCAGCCCTGGACGGTCACCCCGACCCTCTCCCCTTTTATTGCTGCGTCTCCTCTTTAATGGCTTGGCCCACCCTCCTCCAGCTCTGCCGCGTCCCTGCTGTCAGTCTCGTGCCCTCCGCTCCCGCGGTCAGCTCGCCTCTGCTCCAGTCACTTCTGTCTCCCCCAAAACTGCCCGATCCGGTCACCTTTATGAAGGTGCCAGCCCCCCGCGACCCTTCCCCCGCCCTTCTTCGGCGTCTTTCTTCCGAGGCAAAGGGAAGAGGTGCCCCGCGAGGGGCGAGGGTCAGTGAATGAACTTTGAATCTCCTTCTAGAAATGTGCACTAGGTCCCCCCCTCCCCAGCAGCCATTTGCTGTGCTTCTTCCCCAGCTGTGACTCTTTGTATTTTCCACATGCAGTGGGGCCCTCCCGCATTTCTGGCCAAGACTTTCAGTTAAACTTTCTCTTAGCGAAGTTACAGTATTCGTGTTGGCGATAAATAAGGACAGTTATACTTCCATCATGTTCCAAGCACATGCAGGGAACTAAACAACTCTCAATCAGGTGATAGAAAATGGGAGCCAAGGAAGACAAGAAGTATTAAGTCCAAGTTCCGCCCCAGAGTCAACTCTTAGTGTGCCAGCACGCCTTCAACTCTGCATGGTGGGGACTTGGGTCCTCTCTGAAGCCAGCCTGAAGAGAGGTGCTTGAGGCCTGTTATCTCTGACTCAGTTCCTAACCTTTCCCCTATTCAGAGCCAAGCAAGGGCTTAGCCTATAGGAGGTGGGATTACCTGCAATAAACAACATTGCATCATTCCTCCTACCTGCAATAAACAACTTTTCTTACTCATTACATACAGCCTGAGGACATCTTCCTCTACTTTGCTTAACTTTTAAATAATATTAATATTAACCAAGTTTCAGTGGTTCCACTCTAGAAGTTTAGGCATTTTTAACATTCTTAGCAGTCAGCAAACCTTCGTGTTTAATATGCTCTTTCATGGGATGATGGGAAATGGATTGGAAGGGCTGTCCCAATGGTCTGACTTCACTCATCTATTCCTTGCTATGACTTAACTCTGTTTTTCTACTATAATTATTTCATGCAGAGTAGAGAAAGCTTCTGCCATGTATTTTTCACTACGAATTTCTCAGAAATCTTTCACTGAAGTTGACTTTTTTCCTTTGCCTCCTCCCCACCACAATGAGTTATTGAGATTCTTAAGGTCCTATTTTGTTCTTTGTCTCAAGAAGAATCTCCCTTCTCAGGTATTTTGGAAACAGACTTTTTTTTTTATTCATATGAAAAAAATTTCTGAGCCATTCTGAAAAAGAACAGTTAGCCAACTAGGAGTTATTGTTACATGAAACTTTGATAATATTCTGGCCATCATGAATTTTAGAGGACTATCAGAAGACTCTGTAAAAGAGAGTTCATGTCTTCAGTTTTAAATATCCAGCTTCTCTTCTGTGTTATAGTGGCTAGTAAAATTTACCTTCTTCTTGAGTTATTATCACTCCTATTCAGAGGCAAGAAAACCAATCTTAAAAACTTGGCAATTCTTTTGATGGAAAGAGCAGAGGCTTCATAATCCCAGCTCCACCATTTTCTACTTTAAGAATATTTGTGAAGATAACAACTAATGAATATAATGAAGTAAATTACCTGACACTTAAGGTCTCCCAACTGGTAACTGATGGGACTGAGAATTCAGGGCTTAAGTCTCGGCATTTCTTTCTGTGTCAGGCACTGTTTCCCAAGCTTCTGAAAGAAGTTCTCACAAGAAACTTCCCCATTACAATGCAGTGATAAGTACTAAACAATAGGAGTACAGAGAATCCCAAGCTCATATGTGAAAATTCTAGAAGCCTCCAAAGGGACTTGGCTCTGGGCTTGATTCTTGCAAGGTTAATAGGCCTTTAGCCAAAGGCAGAAGGGAGTTTCTGGTAAAGAAAAATTTAAGCACCAAATAAACATCCAGAGAACAAGAAGTTTGATGTGAACGATCACAGGACAGTTCCTTCAGCAAGCGCTAATGAGTGTTTCTTGGGAAATTAAAAAAAATGGGAGATCTAACCTATCAAAAACTGTGATAATATTATACCAGAGACAGAGCCTTTATGCCCTGTGGACAGCAGGGAGGCTGTGTGCAAGCAAAATAACAAAAATAAATAACCTGTGATATTCAAGTCATCCACGCATTTTCTGCCCTATAAGAGAGTGTATGCGAAACAAAATTAATACCAAATGATTGCTTGGTGAGTGACATCACTTCCCCCTAGCAAGTCCTCATTCTTTCATTCTACAAAACGTCACTGAGTGCTTACTCTATTCCAGGAGCGGGAGCTAGGGCTGAGGATACAATGTTCTAGTGATCTGAAAAGAGAGATACCTAATAATTAAACAAGCTATTGTTCCATACTGTGACATGAGAAATAGAGAAATCCAGGTGTTCCATGAACTCCACAATCAGGTATGTGGTCCAGACCTGAAATTGAGACTTTCACAGAAAGTGATAGCTAACTAGAGAGCTCTATAGTAAGAGTGAGCCAAGTAAATGAAATGAAACAATTCCTGGCAAGAGGGAGCAGCGTGCAAGGGCAAAGAAAGCAAAGTATGTTGGGAATGGCGGCTGCAGCATAGAGAGCAAGGAGGAAGGCTATGTGACTAGAGAAGATACTATGCTGTCTTCTATGCAACAGCAAATTTAATCTTTATCCTTTTGGCAAGAGAAACCATTGGACAGCTTTAAACAAGAAAGTGATCTGATCAGATTTGTGTTTAAAAGGGCCCTCTGGCTATGGGGCAGAAACTAGATTCAGAAGGTTTAAGATTAGAGACTGAGAGACCTGTTAGGAGGCCATTATGTGGTAAAGGCAGGAGGGGTGGAGAAAAAGGGGTGTGTTCTAAAGATTTCTAGGAAAACAGATTACCTGGATTTGTTTGATTCACTATGGAATGTGGGAGGAGTCAAGTGACTAGGTTTCTACTTCAGCAACTATGTGAATAGTGGCCCCATTCAGAGAAAGGAGGGCTGCAGAAAGCAGAGCAAGTTGTTAGGAGGACCATGAGGATATCAAATTTTATCAACCTATACCTAAATAACATCAAAGTAGAGATGTGGCAAAGACAGTTATCACCTGAAGAGGAAGATTCTGGCTCTGAACAATAGGTTTAAGCATCATCAAGGTCTAATAATGAAGCCTTGAAAGTCAAAGAAATCACTGAAGGAGCATACACTAGGTCCTCCACTAACATTTATTCAAGTTGTTTCATTTATAACATTGACGGGGCGGGCGTGGGGCATTGGTTGTATTGCCTACCAGCCATGGCATGTTCCAGAGAGGTGCACTTTAGATTCATTGGTATGTCTCAGTCCTCCCAGTCTGAGTGGGTGTGGATGAGTGTGCCTGTGATGGAAGGGTGTCCCATCCAAGGTAGGTTTCCTTCCTTGTGCCCTAAGCTGCTAGGATAAGCTTTGGCCAGCCAAGACCCTGAACCGGAGTAAGCTGGTTGGAAAATGAATATAGATTATTTTTTCATATTAGCAGAGCTTTTGGGTCTTCATTTAGAAAGGTGCTGATATTTTTGTGACCAGAAATATGCTGTGGGAACTTAACTCTTGCTTGTATCAATTTGTATGATATATGGTAAAATTGTTTTGTTTGACATTGTTTCACTTGAAGTTGCAGTTCCTGAGGACCTGTCCATGATGTTAAGTTAGGTCTTAAAAAATGTGGAATGAGAAGAGGGCTTCAAACCAAGCCTTGAGGAACTGGAATGGTTTAGTGGTCAGGCAGAAGAGGATGAGCCAGCAAAGAACAGAGAGGTGGTCACAGAGATAGAAGAAATAACAGGGCATCACAGAGGACAAGAAAAAGGGGAGTGAGTAGTCACCTCTTGTCTGCTGAGAGGTCAAATGCAAGGAGCAGTGGGATGTAGGAATCACTGGTGTTCATAAAGGTTGGAGTAGATGGAAGAGTTGGTGGGAAGTGAGGAAATAAAAGTAATTAGTAGAGAATCCTTGCTATTTGATGGAAGAGGTTTAAGGTACAGGAAGGAAAGGATAATTGATGCAGTACGTGAGGCAGCAAGAAAGGTGGACCTCAGGTGCAGATACTAGCCTGAGGACAGATGCATCTTTAGTCTGTACATAATGATTGTGCACCGCTGTCTCCTCATCACTTTGTCCATACAGAATTTGCTAGCTGCCTTTTCCAGTATAAGTGAAAGGATGGAAATAAAGAGAGGTATATGTGGAGATCCCTTTTGTAGATTTGCTATTGGGAATTTGAGAAAAATCTCAGCTGATGGTCTGTTTCCTCTGAAATAGGAAAAAAAGATTAGCTCCTCAGAGTGAGCAAGGAAGTAGAAGCAATGAAAAGTTTTAAGAGAATTGATAAGTTTTCAATTAGCAAGTAGTAAAAAGCAAGTAATAACAATAACATTTAGCGAAGCAGCTACTTGGTAGCTGTTTTCCATATCTGAACAATCTTGTTCACAGTAACTCTGTAAAATAGACGAACAAGACGTGCAGTGCACTATTTGCCTTCCTGGAACTTAAGTCTTTTGGGTAATGGACAACTACCTGGGCATTTAAAACACAGACAGGTAAATCTGATAGGGGAAATATTGGCTGCTATGGGAATACCAAAAAAAGGACACTCAATCTAGTATGGGATGGAAGCATTCAAACAATCTAACTGCCCAGTGAACCTTTCTTTTGTTCAGTAGATATTTATTGAACACCTCCTATGTACCAGGTTGGTATTAGCAACATGGCTATAATGAGACATAGTGGGCTCCAGGAGAGTGTTAGTTACTTGAAATAACTTTTGTGGGGAATAGAAGAGGAAACAGACTAGGTGTTTGGGAGGATTGTCTGCTAGCCCAAAGGACTACCCTTTCCTTTGGACTGTGCTACAAGCTACACAAACAAATTTTTGTACTTCACACAGCCCTGAACTTAATATGCTCTAGATTGTAGCTTTCTTTTACATCCCAGTCCTGAGTATTTCAGTTTGTTGCTTTGATCAGACATTTGTATTTCTTAAATCAACTTCTAGAACATATATACAAATTATTTTTTAGTTACTTTATTGTAACTGACTCCATACACGCACCCAAGCAACAGTGCTGATTATATCCTATTAAATATTACTTACATAACATTCTCTTCCTGAAAGGTACATATAGCAATTTTAGTTGTGTTGAAATTGACATAGACTATTATTTTTAAATACAAAATTTGATTTGTATAACTGAAAACATCACAGTCAAGATAATAACATACCCTTCACCCCTAGAAAATTTCCCTCTTACCTCTTCCTCTATATTTTCTCCATCATCTCCACACAACCACTGATCTGCTTTCTGATACTGCAGTTTAGTTTGTATTTTATTGTTTGATCAAATGACATCATATGGTATTTACCAATACTTTGTATTTGACTTGTTTCACTCAGTGTAACTATAATTCTCCATGTTGCATGTATCAATAAATACTTCATTCCTTTTTGCTAAATATAGTCTAGGGCCTCCCCTGTGGTGCAGCGGTTGAGCACTGGGTTGTGAAGTTGCCCGCAGCCTCTGCAGCGCTGGTTCAATCCCCAGCTGCTCCCCGGCCACCAGAGGAGGGTCCCACATGGCGCACAGACCTTCTGACTGTACCCAGTGCTTGCATAAATAAATAAATAAATAATCAAATCCTTTTAAAAATAAATAAATAAATATAGTCTAGTGTACGGATATACCACCTTAGTTCCCTATTTACCCAACCAATTTAGACATTTGGATTGTTTGCAAGTTTGGGGATATAACAAATAAAATTGTTATGAACATGTCTAAGTATTTGTATGCATGTATATTATGTATATTATATTATGTATGTTATATTTGACACTTGATTATATACTATCTCATATTCAATGCTTACTGTGTTAGTTACCAGGGCGTTTTTATGTTGTTAGCTTTATGGTAACTGCATTTTCCAGGCCACAAATTAGAAAAATAAAGTGTAATGACAAAAAGGAATCAGGACTGTTGCAGATATTGAAGTCATGTTTATTGATCCCTCATAGTTAACTATGCCTTGTCACCTCATAACTTTTCTTTTTAAAGATTATGCGACCCTTGAGAGCAAACACCAAATCCTTTTCATATACCCACAGTAACCAACATAATGTTAAACATAAACTTAGCCATTCATTAAATTTTTGATAAAATTTTGACCTCATCAAAATGAGCCATTTTTTCCCTCATAGGTTTCTTCCAAGGTGAATTCCACTTGCTATCCAGCTTCCTCCTTCTCTTCTTCCGTGGTGAGTTTCTGGCACTAAAGGTTGACCTCTGAGATCCAGCATAATTTGGGGGCATTTTCATTTATCTTTTTTGAAAAAGATTTATTTTATTTATTCATACAAGAACTGGGGTGTAGACCAGAGGTGCGTTGGGGGGTGTGAGAGGATTCACCAGAGACAGAACAGGCAGACTGACTGAAATACACTGCTGAGGGGAGCAGCGGGTGAGACAGGAGAGGTCTGCTGTGCCATAAATGTGTTAGCTCCCTGGCTGGGGATTGAACTCAGGCTGTCATGGTGATAGCATAGCACTGAGACTGAACCCCTACGCCACCAAAGTGTGTGTGAAATATTCATGCTGGTTTTCTTACCCAAGATTAAGTCTTTTATGTTTTAAGCATTTTTAGTATTGGAAGGTGGTCTTTATAATTATGTTTTTTAATGACTGTATAATATTTCATCAAGTAGATATGACCCAAATGAACTAATAATTTCCCTGTATAACTTTTCAATTGCTTCAGTTTTCAATATTATAAACTGACGTTCACACTTGACAGCAATGTGGGTTTACTCATGCAGTTCTACTGTGTGATTAGTAGGGAACTTCCCCTTTTCAGAACTATCACAGTATTAAGAGGCTCTGGCACATCTTGATGAACACTCTAGACAAGTATATTATGTATCTTTTTCCTGGTGGTAATATTTCTAGAGAGCAGAAAAATTCAGTAATCAACTAGAATTCCATCCTCTCTTTGAAAGGAAAAGAGAAGTAAATCAATTAACTAATACAAAGTCTCTGGGTTTTTGTCCTTCAGTCAACTGTAAAGCTCTTCATTGATGGGAAATTTGTTGAATCCAAAAGTGACAAATGGCTCGACATCCACAATCCAGTAAGTGAAGCAATTTTGGAACTTAAAGTGACTAGCCTAAAATTCTGAGAACAAGATGGGGATGTGGGGACTCCAGTCTATCATGAAACGAATAGTGCTGCCTCTATTGAAATATGGGGCAGCGGCAAAGCATGATATGCTGCTTTTTGCCATCAGGCCACCAATGAGGTCATTGGCCGGGTCCCCCTGGCCACCAAAGCTGAAATGGATGCAGCTGTTGCTTCCTGCAAACGTGCGTTTCCCGCATGGGCAGACACTTCAATATTAAGCCGTCAGCAGATCCTACTCCGCTATCAACAACTTATTAAAGACAACTTGGTAAGAAATCTGAATGGTATTATTTTCTAAACTGTTGTCTAGCAGATTCTTATTACTTCCATAGAGGCCCTTTTAGCTGTCCTCCCTAATCTACATCTCAGAGAGACAAAGGTTATGACTTCCTGGTACTACTTGTGTCTTGGTTTGTTCTTCGACTGTCTTGAGAATTAAAAGGAGGCACATCCTTGCATGGTTTCCATGTATGTGTTTTCTCTCTAGAAAGAAATTGCCAGGTTAATCACATTGGAACAAGGGAAGACCCTCGCTGATGCTGAAGGGGATGTATTTCGAGGCCTGCGTAAGCTGGGAGCCCCCCCACCCCATGGGGAGTTCAGGGATCCTTGGGAAGGAGCGAAGTGAGATGGATGGCCAAGGTCCCAGGATGGAGGGGTTGCTTCTTCCTATGTGTAGATTTTGCTATCCCATCATATCTTTTTTAAAACTTGTAGAAGATGATGATCTTTCTATAAGATTGATTTATTTGACATGATATTCCAGGAGGCTTGTGAATTCTGTACAATCCCTTCACAAGGAAGGGCAAGTCAGGATTTTCTTCCCTGTGTCAAGCCACTCCTTGCCCTCAGGGCTTAGTAGAGCAGGACTATGCTAAATAAATACTGCAGTGTACAGAGCTGGCCTTGTAACTGGAAGACTGGAGTTTGCGCCACCTGTCACCACTGCATGCCAATAAATCTTTAAAGTGCTCTTTAATCAGACAACCGGCAGTCTGGAAGATGGGGGGTTAACTCCCTAAAGAAACCACCTTATCATTTCATTTCCAGCTGCCTTTTTATAGTGAATTGAACAAAGAGAGTTCAGCAGTAAGCAGGCCTTCACTACTGCCAGGAGATTGTGATGTCCAGCTCCCGGAGCTCCTTATTGCCCTCCTGGACAGCTGGCCTCAGTCTTGTCCCACTGTGCTGAGGCTCCCTGCACTCCTCCAGAAGTGTCCTTAGGCTGGAAAATTAACTCAGAGCAGACAGGTCAAAAACAATATGTGTGTGCAGATTTCCTACTATACCAGCGTAGTATCTCACCAGATCTCCTCCCTTCCCTAGCCCCTATCAGCCTGACTGCTGCTTCTCTGTTCCAGAGGTGGTTGAGCATGCCTGTAGCGTGACATCCCTCATGCTGGGAGAGACCATGCCATCCATCACTAAAGACATGGACCTCTATTCCTACCGTCTGCCTTTGGGGGTGTGTGCAGGCATTGCTCCTTTTAATTTTCCTGCCATGATCCCCCTCTGGATGTTTCCTATGGCCATGGTGTGTGGAAACACTTTTCTAATGAAACCATCAGAGCGAGTTCCTGGAGCAACTATGCTTCTTGCCAAGTTGCTCCAGGATTCTGGTGCTCCCAATGGAACACTGAACATCATCCACGGACAAAATGAAGGTAACTACCCTTTGGTACATGCATGGCACTTTGGTCCCTGGCTAGAACAAGGTGTTCAATATTGATGATGGGATGTTTTAGGATGAGGAAGCTAGGAAGGAAGGGATTTTCTAATATCCTCTATGTTTGATGTTAATGTTTGCTATTTTGCCATCTCTGTGTGCTGTAAGTAACTAACTGGAGACTGGCAGTGTTTATGTACCATAGAGTACATTAGGACAAAGAAATATGCATTAGGACAAGACACAGATGGAAGAGAAAGTGTTCACTTTAATATTAAGATAATTTATGCAGATGTTAACTCAGGTAATTTATAGACCTCAGAGAGAATGAAGGTCTTCTAATTCATAGAATAGCTAATAAAGGGTTTCTGTTCCTAGGGCCCTTTATATATTATCTTAGTTAATCTTGACAATAACCCTGTGGTAGGTACTTTATTTTTCAACTTTACAGATAAGAAAATTGAAGCATAATGAAATTAGTTTGCTAAAAGTCATACTTCCAGAAATTACCAAAGTCAGGAGGTATGTATGCAGGAAGACTGACTCTGGTTGTACTTTTAAAGACTATGCTATCTTGCCTCTCACATGTGGGCACAATAGTATCTGAGAGTCTCCCAGTATATAGGAAGAGCTGTGTATTGAAAAACTTGTTTTGGAAGTAATAGAAATTATAACCTTCAGAATTACAAGCGGAAATTCTGAAGTAGCAAATGAGAAAAGTATTGAAAGACGAAAAGAGAACTTCAAAAGGGAAATCCAGGGTAGAAAAAAATATACATGAAAACTTTAATTCATAGCAATGGGAAAAGGGGAAATTTGCCATGTAGAGAATTCCATGGTCATTTGTTTCTTTGTAGTGATCATTTATTTTATTTTTAAAGCTGTAAATTTTATTTGCGATCATCCGGATATCAAAGCCATCAGCTTCGTGGGATCCAACCAAGCGGGAGAGTACATCTTCGAGAGAGGGTCAAAACATGGCAAGAGAGTTCAAGCCAACATGGTGACTTCTTATTCCTTTTCCCCTAAACACTATGCAATAACGTTTTCTAGAAACATCCCTTCTGCCCGTCTGCAGTGAGGCCACTCAAATGCCAGTGTTTCTTTATTAACACTTTATTCATAAACTTTATTTATAAATAAATAAAGTTTACCCTTTATTCATAAATCTTGTGATGAGTTTTATTCTAAATCACTCTAATTAGTCACTTTAATCTTGAATTCTATGGGCTGCACCAATAATGACCATAATGACCATATTCTGGTCTGACCCTCTTTCTTCCTTCATACCATACTTCTGACCCTTTTTCTTTTAAGGCATTTTTTAACCACTAATGTCAGAGATATGATCTTCCCTAAGAGTTCAGGCTATTTAAGGTCCTGGAAAGAACCGACTATCCTTGATATATGAGTGTGGTTTACTTGATTGCATATATTTGCTCCTCTTACTAGCTTCTTGCCAAATATTTAGCAATTCTTTGATACTAAATATAAAGTCCAGTTGCTACTTTCTTTCTCTTCAGCTGATGTTGCAGAGAGGACAGGCACCTGCGCACAGGCCCACTTCTGAATGACTAAATGTGTTTTGGCCAATTTGACTTAGGCTCCCTCAGTTCACTATATATTTGTCTTTTGTGTCTAATGGTATTCTATGTGTAATGAGATAAAATTAGGTAGCAAAAATAGTATCTGTCCATGCACTCAACTATAATTGTATCTGGAAATATACATGTGGAAATGATCATGTATCATCCTACATAGAAAAGAAGTTTAAGGGGCTGTGTATTTGGAAGCAAGCCAATTTGGGGAACTTCTTTCTAGAGAAATTATCATAGCCCTACTTCCTATTTTGCTTTTAACTAGTTACTGGAAGCTCTTTGTTTACATCGCTTTTCAAATAACTGGAAACCCCAGCAGACAAATTCTAACTTAAGCAAGAGAAGGGAATTATCCTTGGGCTCCTATATGTAGTATTTAGCTTGTCTGTTTGGTTGAATTTCTGATTGCTGCTTTTAACTTTTTGTGGGGGGTGCGTGGTAATGGTTTTGATCTAAATAAACATATCAGCTTATTGGATGAGAAGGAAAAGTAATTTGGAGATGTGCTCAATTTTGGTGAGACTTTAGTAGTATCAAAATGATAATCTGTTCTCAAAGTGACAAAGGATAAATTCTCTAGTCCTTTCTTTTTAAGTCTCATTTGAAATCTCAGATTCTTTGCTAAATTTCTTAGCTTTATAATATTTTGCCAAGGAAGATAAATGTACTTTCTCTATTTCCTTAGGGAGCCAAAAACCATGGGGTAGTCATGCCAGATGCCAATAAGGAGAATACCCTGAACCAGCTGGTGGGGGCAGCTTTCGGAGCTGCTGGTCAGCGATGCATGGCTCTTTCAACAGCAATTCTTGTGGGTGAAGCTAAGAAGTGGCTGCCAGAGCTGGTGGAACGTGCCAAAAACCTGAGAGTCAATGCAGGTAATCAGTGATCTGCCTAGCTCCTTTAGACTTTGCATCTATCATTAAACTTTTGGTTTAGCCTCGGCTTGATCCATGAGAACAATCATGTCTATTGTTCCCATTGCCTCTCTTTACACTGTGCTTGTCTTCTGGATTCATTGTTAGCAGTCATAATTTATGTTAATGAAGACCCTCTAATGTTTCTATGTGGCTTTATAGGAGACCAGCCTGGGGCTGATCTTGGCCCTCTGATCACCCCTCAGGCCAAAGAGAGAGTCTGTAATCTGATTGATAGTGGAACAAAGGAAGGAGCATCCATCCTTCTTGATGGTCGAAAAATTAAAGTCAAAGGATATGAAAATGGCAACTTTGTTGGACCAACTATCATCTCAAATGTCAAGGTGAACAACTCTATAAGTTATTTCACAAGTACAAGAGCTGAAGGCATCTTAGAACTGTGGACTCTCATCTCTCCAGTTCATAAATGAAGACATTTCAATGACCAGAGGTCTCACCTCTTGCCAGGATTACTCAGTTATTTTATCTAGAGTCTGAATGAGTCTCCTCTCCTGATTCAGAGTGTCTTTTTACTTATAGCAATGGCCAACAGACTATCCCTAAAGGGCTAGGTAGTAAATATTTTTAGTTTTGCAGGACTATATAGTCTGTGGCAACTACTCAGCAATGGACACTTTAGTGTGAAAGTAACTGTTAACATTGTGTGACTGTGTTTCAATAAAACTTTATGGAGAATGGAATTTTAATTTTATATCGTTTATGTGACATGACTGGTTTTTTCAACCATTTAAAAAATGTAAGAGCCATTCTCAGCTTATGGGCTATACAAAAATGGGCAATAAGCCACATTTAATCCATGGGCCATAATTTGCCAACCCCTATTTTATATACTGTTGCTTGTTTAATGCCTCTCCTCCTTGATGCCAAGCTTACAGCTATTGCTATAGCAATATATCAACTCCCTGTTATTTATTGAATATCTACTCTGTGCCCAAAACTTAGCTGCATCTTCACCAGAAAGTTACAAAAGAAAAATAATTGGTGTCATTTTTTATTTATCAAAACTCTGAAAGTTTTTCAGCTAACATTAATTACTAAACAAAGTTATGAGGTCTCTTTTTGAAATTCATATGTCTCCACTAATCCTACCAATAAGCCCAAATAATCAAGAGTTGAATTTAGTAAAAATTATGAAATCTCTTGCCACAGAAACATAAGAGGAAAAATCCACTTGTCAGCAACAAATACAGCTAACTAGCTACAGTGGTGAAAGATACTTAAATATTTTAATGTGACCTGCTATCAAAATATAAATGCATGGATTCATTTGGAAGGCAAAGGAAGAATGAGAATAGATTGTTTATGTTACAGAAAACTTAGCATAAGTTTACTTTAAACAAAAAATTCTATTGTATTTAATACATATTTGAATCATGAAACTAACTTTTCAGTAACATATCAATTGTATACACTAATCATGTAGGTATTGAGGAAGCCAGTGGTGGAACCTAAAAATCCAGTGCTTACAGGAAAGGAGTGTAGTTATAGTTAATAGGAATTTCAAGTTATTTGTGTGAATGGCAGCTTGAAAGATGGAACACAGTAAGAAGTAACTTTTTTTATAGGTGGTTTAAAATGAAAAGAGGTTTCTAAGATGAAAGCTGTCCATATAAACAGGTAATAAAGTACCAAATTAGCATTAAACACTGACTTTTCTGTATGCATCATTCCTGGTAGCCAAGTATGACCTGTTACAAAGAGGAGATTTTTGGTCCAGTTCTGGTGGTTCTGGAGACAGAAACTTTGGATGATGCCATCAAGATTGTAAATGACAACCCATATGGAAATGGAACTGCCATCTTCACCACCAATGGCGCCACTGCTCGGAAATATTCACACCTGGTGGATGTCGGGCAGGTTTGTGAACAGAATTTTTAAGAGATTCTTGTACCCACTTACTGTTTCCTATCTAAAGGGAGATGGTAAACAGTGATTGGTGACTGCCCCTCTGACCTCCCACAGTGCCCATTTCTTTCTCAGGAATATAAGTTCCTGGGATGGAAGATGGGGGGAAGGTGGGTGTTTAAAAATGGTCTCTTGGATGCCAAGTATTTGTGCTTCTAAATGGAGAGTTTCTTGGAGTTCTCTTCTTAGTATCTGATGTGGATCTGTTGTTCTAGGTGGGTGTGAATGTCCCCATTCCAGTGCCTTTGCCAATGTTCTCATTCACTGGCTCTCGATCTTCCTTCAGAGGCGACACCAATTTCTATGGCAAACAGGTAACTTTTAAGTTTAAAAGAATATTTTTTTCCTCTAAGAAATTTTCAGAAACATATTCAGGAGTAAGGATTCAGCAAGGAAGGGCCTGTCAGCAGCTTCTGTGGGGTCTTGTGTCGTCCATCAGTGCTTTTCAGGAGGTTCCCTAGAAAAGATTTACAAGTCAATAAAGTTTTGCCCAAACTGCTCAAGCCTTTGTATGTACCATTTCTTTGCTGGTGACCCTCTTCTACCTTTCATCTGACTCTTAAGTCATGTGCCATGTCTCATGTTAAAGAATGGACTCCTCCAGAAAATCACCTCTGACCAGCACCACCCCCTTCCCTCAGTGCTTGGCTGGGTATGTCCTCATTGCTCCCACTGCACATATTTCTCTTATAATAGTTACTCCTCTACAACATAATTTTATTGAGCACCTTCTTTGTACCAAACACTATTCAAGGATGTGTAAATAATAGCACTGAATAAGAAAAATCAGGCAGATCTAGAATCAAATTACCTGGATTCAAATCTCAACTCAGCCAGTTATTAACTGTGACCTTGGGGGTAACCCTCCCTATGCCTGAAATTTCTTCATCTATAAAATGAGAACAACAATAATACCTATATTTAGGTATTATTAAGAGGTTGCAAGGATAAAATTACCTGTTACCTCAACCTTCATCAGGTACATATGTCCTAAGGCAGAAACAGGCATGGCATATTCAAACAGCAGAAATGGACTAAAGCATAGTGAGTGAATGAGAAGAATGATAAGAAGTCAGGTTAGAGAGGTAAGCAGGGCGCAAGTCATGTAGGGCTCTTTAAGCCATGTTAAAAAGTCCTTATTACACATTGTCATTATTTACTGATCTGTAGTACAGAGCAGGTGTCCAAAGCTATATTAAACAAAAGGAAGTTTTTTGTAGTCCCACAAAAATACAGTCATTTTGGAACCTTAAGTAATAAATTACATGTTTTCTATACAGGTCTTCTTTTTATAGGTTATTAAAAAGTTAACAGTTGTAATTGCATAGCTGAATATAACATTATGGCCAATGTGTTAAGTGAACACTGGTTATGTACAGGCTGATTATCCAGTTTACGCACTAGTTGCAACTTTTGCAGAACTGACTAGGTTGATACTATTAACAAAAATTTCTTTCAAGGAAAGCAGAGTAAAACTATTGCTTAAAAACAGTCTTTTTTTTCCCTTCTTTTCTCCCCTGTCTTGGTTTAATTATTATAAATTACTCTGGTAAATGAGACTTCTTGGAGGAAAAGACCAACCTCCCATACAGTTTGAAATCTTAAATCCTCACATAAATAAATTGCTACTTTGGCATTTTGGAAAGAGAATATGAAAGTATTATTCCTATGTAATAAATTATAAACTTTAGTTGAAAGTATGTAGATCTCTAGTAGTTATAAATACATTAAAATGGCTGAGATTTTGTCAAATAATTCTAGAAGGGTTTATTTAACCAAACTAATTCGTTTCTAAAATACCGTCCTAGTAATTAAATGTTACTTAAATGTTAAGTAATGTTACTTAAATGTTACTTCCTAGTAATTAAATGTTAGATCCACACAGTGTATTCTCTTTTTTTCAAGCATATTCTTTTTTTTTTAAAAAAAAGATTTATTTATGCATACAAGAGCTGGGGTATAGGCCAGAGGTGCAGGGGGCGGTAAGAGGATTCACCAGAGACAGAGTGGGGAACAGAACAGGCAGATCGACCAAAGTACACTGCTGAGAGGAGCAGTGGGCAAGTCAGGAGAGGTCTGCTGCACCATGTGGGTTTGTTCCCTGGCTGGCTGGCCAGGGATTGAACTCGTGCTGCAGAGGCTGCGGACAGCTTCACAGGCTGCATCTTAACCCCTTGAGCCACCAGGGAGGCCCTCAAGCATATTCTTATAAAATAAATGATGTGTGTATACAGCCTTAAATGTGCTGGATTTGGGAACTCACTTTATAGGTGATTTAGAAGTGAATGTGTATAATACCAAACATTTTACTTTTGATTTGTAAGATATTATAGGCTGTTTTATCACTGACTGTTGTCATAAATGGTCTATTAGTGTTTTACTCTTTCAACCCTTTTTCTTCTTCTGGGAAGGACAGGAAAACTAACAACTGTCGAAAAACAGTTACATTGCTAGGATGCTCATTTCATTTTCCCTCACAGCCTTGGTATGAGGTGGATGTTATGTCACAGATAAAGCCAAGGTTAAACTGGTCAGTAAGGAGTAAGTAGAGGCAGAATTTGAACCAAGTCACAAGACCATGGAGCACATGATACTCAGCTCTAGGAGCAGAATGACCTGCAAGTTTAACAGATTATATTGTTCAGTTTTTCCATTTTGATGCTCTTGACTAGTTTCAGCACAGTGATAGCTAAGGTTTGACTGTTTTATGTGCCGGATATTATGCTAAATGTTGTGCAAAGATTGTCTCATGAACAGTATACTGAATTTTGGTAGCATCTATTCCTCAAGTAGGAAAATGAGTAACTCTTCATGGCATCCCCTACAAAAGTAAGTTAAAAGAAGACTCATAAATTCCCAGCAATATAATCTCTTTTTTCCTTTTGTTTTCCTTAGGGCATTCAATTCTATACTCAGCTAAAGACCATCACTTCTCAGTGGAAAGAAGAAGATGCTACTCTTTCCTCGCCTGCTGTAGTCATGCCTACCATGGGCCGTTAGAAACAAGTTTGTTCCAGACTTGTCCATCCTGAGTAATCTCCCTTTATTCTTGACCAACTTCATTTGCCAACTTTGTGCAGATCAGATCCCTGGGATTGGAATACTTTGCAACTAAAATCTTTCTCAGGGCCATTAGCCCCTGGGAGTTGCTATGGGGAGACTCCTAGTGTATCTTTGATAACAGATTTTCCTAGCTCTTCATACTTCTATTTTTGAGGTAACTGTTGTAACTGTGAAATGTTTATCTGGAATGAGAGCTTAGACCTGTCTTCTAAAATTCTCCCCTTTCTGATGACTTGAAAGAAAGATTACTGTACTAAAGAAGATCTTCCAATAAATGGAAGAGGACTTCTTGGATGGGGAAATTGGACAGAAATAACTCACCCTTTGGTTGATCTTCACAGTCCTACATAGATGCCATTGGGGGAGACCCCTCTGCCAAGCTTTCCTGAGCCTCTCATTTCTCCCACACTACACCAGATAGAAACCATTTCTACTTATCCCACAATTGTGACAACTGCTTCTTTCTTTTTTGCTGAATGCCACTTTGTCTTAATGATTCACAACTATCAAATTCTACCTGCTTCTTAAAAGTCACTTCTCAAGGATACCTCAGTATGCAAAGGATAAATCAACTTTTTGTGTGAACCAAATGTTAAATTTCGGGATTGCTTCAGCAATCAATTAATACTTCAGTCATTCATTCAGATACAAATAATTTTTTTTTTTTTTTAGATAAACAATTTCAAAGTTTTTTTAGGTCTAGAAATCAAGGGGTGTTCCAATCATGAAAGTGGGCAAGACTCTTGCCTTAAGCAAATCTAACCTGATATTACTGTTTTTTTATGTTGTCCTTTCCTCTTGCCTGTATTTCTCATTAATGATACTTAATGAAAGAACCCTTAAAAATGTACAGTAATTCATTGGGTCTTAAGAAATTTCAAAGCTTTTCATGATATAAAATTGTTAAAAAATGCTTTGACAGGTTCTTCTATCATTAATTCAGCTGTCTTTATACTTTTTGTGTCTTTGCTGTAACTAAACTTTTAGTCGGAACAGAAAAGAATGTGTGAGACAAAATAGAGCCTGTGTTTTGTTCTACCTGTCTTACTGATGCAGTTTTCACCTGGTAAACTAGAAGTCTCCTGGCTCTGAGAGAGTCATCCCTGGCCCTCAGCCAGATGACATAGGTCATTTATTTTTCTCCTTCCTCACTAATCATGTGGATAATGCTAACCTACTCTGTGGGAGTTATTCCTTGAATTAAGGATAGTGAAACGATTGTACACTCTGTGGATTTTAGGCTTGCTGCTATTTCCTGCTAGATGGAATAGCAGAGCTGTCATTCGATTAAGGGACTGTAACTTTTTTTTTTTTTTTTTGGTTTTCTTTTTTGTTTTTGGATAGATGAAGCAATAAAAATGTTTAATTTGATAATGGAATGAATGCCCCTGGTTTTATACCTTGTTACAGCTAACACAGGTAGTGATGTTTAATCCAATCCCACAACTATAGGGTAGGTTGAGTGAAAGGTCATGTTGCCTAAATTCCATGTGGAATTAAATAATCACAGAGATACCCATGTTTCCTTACAGTTAAGGGAAGTCACTATTTAAAAAACACTAATCAAAATTATGTTGCTAATTGGAATAAAACATTTGACTTGCTGCTTGCTGCTCAGAAGAGTTTCTTGTTTCTTTAGTTGCAGTTAAAAATTCAGTATTTTATTTTTGCTCTGATATGGCCTCCTTTGAAATCTCTCAGATTCATTGTATTGATTGATTTTGAATAACAAATTACAAATAAAAAGCTCTTAAAAAGAAAAACCTGCGTTTTAATGGTGCCAGATTATGCCTTTGTCCACTTGCTTGTAGTGACTAAGACTTCCTACTTCTGTCCAGAACCAATAGTTAGATGGTTATTATACTTATTCTTACATAAAAGATAGTACATATTTTGACTAGGCCGTGCATTTCAAAAGGCAGCTTTCAGACTTTCCACACTAAAAGCAAATGCATATTTAGGACTCTTTAAGTATAACAGACCTTTTCTTGAGTTGCTATAATGTTGTTATAAAAATGTCTATAATCTCTTACTAGTGTTAGTACTCATCTCGCTGATCCCTGAGAGCTCCTAGAGAGTAGCGAACAGAACTGTGATTTAGCAAGAAGCTACACAGAGAGAAGTAACAGTCATGTGTATTGTTTGGGTAGATTTCAGGCTCCTTACTATGTTAGACTCTTGTGGTCCTTTCGGAATATTGGGCGTCATCATTTCATCAGTGGAGTTTGAGATTGACGCTTGCTGGGTGATAAAGGTCTGATCCGGAAGGTTTCTTTCATCCCTGCAATTAGGATAAAGTAACAGACCTGTCAACAACCATATACACATGGAACTTGGTTCAGAACAATAGACTTGTCTTATTTCTCTCACTGAATTCCAGCACATAAAAGATGTCACAAGATCCACCGTGATCAGGCTCATGTTCATTGTTTTGTCAAGAAAGATCTTACCTAGATTCCCTTTTTTCTCCATTGTCAGGAACATAGTCTGGAATTGGAGGCTTAGAGCTCTGGCTGTATTTCCTGTGGTGGGTAAAAGTTAACAATGAGGCAGTATCTCCTTGTGTCCTACATTTCAATTACACTGTTAAAGTGCTATGAAATGTTATCTTTGGATGGGCTTCTTATTTTCAAAAATGAGCTTTTACACATATATAGAGGCAATACAAATGTTAGTTACGCAAGCTAAGATATTCTCTTCCAATTGAGGTTTGTTAACATAAGAAAAAGAAAAAATTATGGAGATGACTATGTGAAGCTACTCAACAGTTTTTAAGGGTGAAGGGCAAGATTGAACCAGAGTACTGACTGAAAACATGGCCAGAAAAATTCCCTTTCCACAAAAAGAACCTTAGAACACAGAAAGGCTACCCCGTGGAGATAGATCAAGTGTGAAATTCTGTAGACTTTGCGAAGTCTGGTTTAAGAACAAGAAATAAACTTATCAACTCAATATTTTAATTTGAAGATGAGCTTAACAGTTATAAAAAATGTAGTTGGTGGCCTCCCCCGTGGCTCAGCAGTTGAGTGCTGGGCTGCGAAGCTGCCAGCAACCTCTGCAGTACCGGTTCGATCGATCCCTGGCTGCTGGCGAGGGTCCCACATGGCGTGCAGACCTCTCCTGCTGCGCCCACTGCTCCCCTCAGCAGTGTATTTCATCCGTCTGCCTGTTCTGTTCTCCACTTTGGCTCTGGTGAATTCTCTCACCCTCCCACACTTCTGACTGTACCTAGTGCTTGTATAAATAAATAAATCTTAAAAAAAAAAAAAATGTAGTTGGTTGATTTGACAATAAAGTTCCTAAAACTCAAATAGGTGCAAATGAAAGCATATCCATATTCAATCAAACCCATTCAAAACTGGATTATATTAAATAGTCTAATAATGATGCATGGGGAGAAATGAATTTTAGCTACTCCTAGTGTCTGAGGTATAGCCAGAGTGGTTGGCTGCTGATACATTGAAGAGTACATCCAATTTATTGGTTATTTTCTTTTTTTTTTTTTTATAGAGGCATGCTTTATTTATTTATTTATTTATTTATTTTGTTTTTTTGGTTGGTTGGTTGGTTATACATGCACTGGGTACAGTCAGAAGCACGGGAGGGTGAGAGAATTCACCAGAGCCAGAGCGGGGAGCAGAGCAGGCAGAAGGACCGAAGTACATGAGGGGAGCAGCGGGAGGTCTGCACGCCATGTGGGACCCTCCTCCGGTGGTGGCCGGGGAGCAGCTGGGGATCGAACCGGCGCCGCAGAGGCTGCAGGCAGCTTCGCAACCCAGCGCTCAGCCGCTGTGCCACCGGGGAGGCCCTTTATTGGTTATTTTCTATTGACTTAGTTCAGTCACAGTATTGTACTGTTAGATTCACAAGCAGACACAACCAACTGCGAACTCTTACTGACTTTTTAATTATTCTACTTGCCTTGCTAGACCTTATATGATCTAATTCCTTCCCAGTTTGGTTTGAGCTTTCTTAATCTCAGTCTCACCTTCACACGTCACCATTCTATTCCTATCTTACTTTTCCTTCAACCCTGGCATGCAATTCCAACAGGGTTAGATCATGTGGTTAAGTTCAAGTTGATTGCTTTGGTGTGAAAGATTTCACTCAAATTCCATTGTTCCACCAATGCTATAAAAAATATAGTGTGGAATGTGAGGCCTAAGACTGGCTATATTTCCTGGGATACAGAAAAGCCAACTCAATGAAACAGACATTGAGTACCCACAGTCTGAATTCTACCGCCACCTCTTTAATAAAACACTTTGGAAAGCTACCAGAGATACACAAAAAATTCCCTACTCTTCCACCTCCCAATTAGTCTAATACTTTAAACTCTTTTGCAAATAGTCTTCTTTGTTATTTTCAATGTGGTTATTACTAAAGGCGCTTGAGTCCGTTACTCCTCTAACTTCATTCACTTTCCTAAGCTCAACTACCAGTTCTCATGAAACATGCTCAAATCTCCCTCCCTAAACTCTTATCTGTATCTCAATGCCTTAAATGTCTTTCACTTTAATATATTGCCATCATCTCCAATGAAACATTGAAAACACAACTTTCTGTTCCTTCTGCCTAGAATGTTTTTCTCTCTCCCTCACTTGTTCCTATTTACCTTTTAGAGGTCAGTTCAGGTTTTCACTTCCTCAGAAACTTTGCTGACTTTCTTAACTAGGTCAGATTCCCTTAAGGCAGGCTCTCATATCATTATATGGACATTTTTAAAGCGGAATCTTATTGTTCAGAAGCCACTCACGCCATGTCCAGATTAATCCGTCCAATAGCTTTTATGTAATTTAAAAGAATCGACATTTTTCCTGTATAGATCATAAAGTCCTTGAGACCTGGCACAATACCTTTATTTGCTCAACACCCTATCAATAAATAGCAGGCACTGGATATGTTTATGTTAAGTTAGTTAATGGATGGGTTAAACAAGATGTAAACATTTCCCAAAATGTTTACAGAACATTTTCCCAAAATGTTTCCCAAAATGGCTTTCCAGATTCTTCATTTAACTTTATAACATCATTCTTTCTCTAAGCTAAAACACTTAGGCACATCCTTTTCTCCTTCCTAAGTGTCTTTCATTTTCTCCCCTTTTCTCTAACTACTCCCACCCTTGCCTAAACCCCTCATCATCACATGCCTAGAGTACTGCAGTAGCTTCTGCTGGTCCCCAACTCCAGTTCTGTGAGGTTAAGGTCAACTCTGAAAATGACGACCTGTGTATCCTTCCAGTGAGAATCACAGAATGGCTCAATGCTCTTTATACTCATTTAGGACCAAGGAGAAAAGCATGTGATACTACTCTAGAATCCACACTAATGCATTAGCATATTTTTTGAATGAACTCCAATTATACTTTATTATGTACCTAGTGATATTTGTTATGTTTGGGCAACTAGATTGTAAGTTCTCTGAGATCAAGGATAATGTCTCTCAATTCTTTTGAATCCCAGTAGTACCTAACAGTGCCAAGCATGTAAGAAATCAGGAAGTGCTTGGTCTATGTTAGCCACTTTATAATCCATCCCAGGGTTACAGTCACTGATAACACACAAAGGAGAGTGAAACTACTCATTAGAAGGAATTATTTGTGATACCTGTTTTCCTTTTTTAGATATAGTTATTAGAGATTCTGTGGACTAATAATCAACTAATAATCATTTACTTATCTTTGGGGCCTCTCTGGAGGCGTAAGGGTTAAGTCTCAGCGCTGCCACCACAAAGACCCACCAAGGTGGCCTGAGTTCCATCCCAGCCAGGGAATTGACCCACACATGGCACAGCAGACCTCTCCTGTCTCTCCCACTGCTCCCCTTAGCAGTGTATTTCAGCAAATGTTTCTGCTCTGCTCCCCACACTGTCTCTGGTGAATCCTCTCACCTCCCACACATCTGGCCTACACCCCAGTTCTATGCAAAAATAAATTAAAAAAAATTTTTTTAAATCATTTACTTATCTTTAAAGACCAATAAAATCTTAACAATTGTAATGCTTTACTTCAATTACCACTCATTCAGCTGAATAACAATACATACCTTTTTTTTTTTTTTAAGATTTATTTATTTATTTTTACAAGCACTGGGTACAGTCAGAAGAGCGGGAGGGTGAGAGAATTCACCAGAGCCAGAGAGGGGAGCAGAGCAGGCAGAAGGACCGAAGTACACTGCTGAGGGGAGCAGCGGGCGGCAGGAGAGGTCTGTGCACCATGGGGGACCCTTGCCCAGCAGCCGGGGATCGAACCGGTGCTACAGAGCTTTGCAGCCCAGCGCTCAACCGCTGCAGCATTGGGGAGGCCCTTTAGCAAATATTGCCCTAAGTATGTAAGATTAGTATTTTCTACTTCCGCTCCCCTCCCCATTAATTCCAATTCATCAACTCATCTTTCATTTTCATGCTCATTCATTCATTTCCCATTCTTTATGTATGGGAATTGCAACATCTAAGCAGTATGAATCCCTTTTATATTTTCCAGTCTTCCCCTTTAATTTTAGATGAGAATCAGATCACTGTTCCAATATAGTTTCTAGGTTTGATAACAATTGATATTTCTCTACAGAAATAGGGAGTTACCTAGGAACAAAACCATTCATTTTTGCAAAGAGCAATCTCAAGACTTTCTCCTTCTGCTCCCAGGTCAAATCTCCAATATCCACATTTTCTTGAACACCTCTCCTGAAAATTTTCAAAGAAAAAAAGTAAGAAGAAAATATATGGTAAAAATAAACATCTCTTCTGTTTAAAAATATAAAATATGTAAACATGAGAAAGAAATTTTCTAAACCATAACTAAATATTATGAAGTTTCCAATGTAACAACTACAAAGCAAACCTTGTAAACTATAAATAAAGGTGAAAAAGATATCAATATGCTAGCCTATCTGAAATGTTATGTAGTTACTAAGTTGAAAATAAGAAAAACTATAATAACATGGAAAAAACTGTGCAAAACTTGAAGCAACTAAGCAAAACAGAAAGCTGTGATATAACTATGTATGTAGGTACACACAAAGACAAAAGGAACAACAAAGTTGCTTGATGAAATTATTGATAAATTTCTTGCAACTCTTCTTTTATTATTAAATATTTTGCTATGAAAAAATAACAAAATGTAAATTTAGAAAAAGCAGATAACTTTTCTGGTCTATTTTCCGAACTCCAAATAATTCTGCAGTTAAACTGTCCAGGCTGGTCTTTTATCTGTACCATAACTTTCCCAGGAGATTAATAGTCTACTTGTTATTTACAAAAGCTGACATGGAGATAGAATCATTAATGTTGTATGATATCAAAAATACTTCCTCATATAGGCCAATTGGATTAGGGTTTTTTTTTAAGTTTAGGTTTTGCCTTATGTTCACCATTCTTAAATGTCCTCCCCCAATCTGCCTCTTAAGCAGATGATGAAATATTTTAACCACTATTTCTTCCCTGTTGGGTAGAGGCAATAGGACACCGAGGTTAAGGTGACAAGTTACTCAGTAGTAAAAATGTAGATAGAACACAGAATAGGAAGAGTCTAGTTTCTGAAATAACAATTAGATAATCATTTTATGTACCTTCCTCTGAAAACGTATATACCATTTAATATACAGTAGACCAAAAAAATGTAAGAGAAATTGCATTGGGGCCTCCCTAGTGGCCTAGGGGTTAAGTCCCAGTGCTATCACTACTACAGCGTGAGTTCAATCCCCTGCCAGGGAGCTAACCCACAAATGGTACAGCAGACCTCTCCTGTCTTGCCCACTGGTCCCCACTTTGACTCTGGTGAATCCTCTCACTCTTCCCACATCTCTGGCCTTTACCCCAGTTCTTCTACGCAAAAATAAATAATTCTAAAAAAAAAGGGAAATTGCCTTATGTATAGTAGTGACTCAATTTACTTGACAAATTAAAAAAGAAGAGATGACTACATTGTATCTCTTGGTAACAGAAGTATTATTACAGACTTCTGAATATGGCAAGAAAATAAAAAAATATTATGAACGTTTGTGAAGAAGAATCTTATCTTTCAGAAGCCACTGATCATGTCCAATTTTCCCAACATTTATAATTTAAAAGAACCTACAATTAGCCCATTAAAAATAATTTAAAGCAGAAAACACATTTAGAAGCACTCTTAATAAGGTATTAAGTACATAGTCGTAGGGAGTCCTTTTAACTTTCTTGAAGACTCTAATCACATTGAGATAAAAAAAACTTGGTTTTCAGAATAATCTTTAAGATGTACTATAATCCATGGTTTATGGGCAGAAGAGTGAACAGATAAAAATGCTAAAAGGAAACAATCAGCATGGGTAGTCTACAGCTATCTTTGTGCTGCTCATTACTGGGTGTCCTCCAATCCATGGGGTTGTTCTGTACGAAGAATTGTTACATTGATTTTTTAAATTATATGTTTAGCTAGATACCTATGAATTTGACTTTACAATAGTAAAAGGAACATAACAAAATATTTATGAATGATTATAAAAAATGTTTAACTGAATCTAATCAAACTACAGGAAATAAAATAAGGGAACCTACTGAAATATATTACCTCTGAATCATACAGTGTTGTAAACTAATGTTAACTCAATTAAAAAAAAATTACAGTGACATTCTATGCCACAAATGATCTAGCCTCCTTAAAGTCTCACTTATGAAAGGGGGGGGCTCATACTAAGAATACCTACTGATGCCCACACACTATGCTAGGTATGGGGTTACAAAGATGAGTTTAAGTCAGTTCCTATGCTCAAATAATTTACTGAGCAATATATTCAATACTTAGATATTATCGAACTGAACTCTTTGAGATTTTATTTCTCTAAAGGGCACAAGAATAATCACAAAGTGATAAAGTATTAAAGCATTATTCATACCATTTTTCAGCCTCCATAAGATCTTGATTCACACTATTAGTGCTGTGTTCTCTGCCATCAAATGTTCTGATCTTGGGATATTCTGTTCTTCCTGCACATGCCTCTCTCATTTTAAAATTGAAAGCAGCTTGTGCTACCTGTTTATAACGCTTCCTGTTAAATAGGATCTGTTGCTTCACTTCGTGTAGAGCATCTAAAAAGAATCTTTCCACTTCTGTTCTCTCATCCAGTATGTTCTTGGCCAGCTTCTTCACTCGATTCATTTCCCTGTCCTTCATATGAAGAAGTTGTTGTAGATTGTCTATTTCAACCCGCCCTGCTTGGTTCTCTATTAATGCCTTTTGCTGTAGTTTTAAAACTTCAGTCTCAAACTCTCTGGTCATACAACTTAGGGCAGTCTCCAAGCTTAACACCTTCTTCTGAAGAATTTGGATTTGTGATCTCTGCTGCATAAGTTGCATAATCTTTTCCTTAACCAAAAGATCATTGATCTCCTAAAAACAGGAAAAGAAGTGAGAGGCTTTTTTTTTTCTTTAGTCAATTCCAGAACATAAAATCTCCTCACGAATTACATTATTTCATGAGATTATGAGATTTGTGTGTGATGGCATGTTAAGATAGTGATGTTTTAGTATTTAGTGCTTAGAGTATAAAAAACATGCTTGGATCCTTTTCTGGATTTGTAAAGGCCACTGATTTTGTTAATTAAGAAAATTTCCCTGGTCTAACCACTATGGAAAGCTGTGTGGAGATTCCTCAACCTACTAAAGATAGAGCTCCCATATGATCCAGCAATTCCGCTCCTAGGTATTTACCCAAAGGACACAGAAACATTAATTCCAAAGAGCACCTGCACCCCTATGTTTATAGCAGCACTATTTACAATTACTAAGCTATGGAAACAACCCAAATGCCCAAAAATAGATGACTGGATCAAGAAGATGTGGTACATATACACAATGGAATATTACTCAGCAATCAAAAAAGATAAACACATGTAATTTGCAGCAACATGGATGGCACTGGAAGGGATCATGCTCAGCGAAATAAGCCAGAAAAAAAAAGAAAAATACCAGATGGTCTCACTCATAGCAGGAATCTAGAAAACCTAAATAAGGGACCAGGTAAAAGAATAACTATAAGAAAGAAAAAATCAAAATCAACAAACAACTATGAACACACTATGGGGGGGGAGGATGGGGAAAGGAGGGTTTGGAGTCAAAATAAGGGGGTTGCAATTGTATGGGGAATATAAAAATAAATTTTTTTTTAAAATATAAAAAAAGAAGATTTCCTGGCCTCCCTGGTGGCACAGGGGTTAAAGACAGCACTATCAAGTGATTGGCAGCCACTGCAGCATGAGTTCGATCCAGGCCGGCCATGTTCGATCCACATGGTGCAGCAGACCTCTCCTGTCTCGCCTGCTGCTCCCCTCAACAGTGTATTTCAGTAGATCTGCATGTTCTGTTTCCCACTCTCTCTGATGAACCCTCTCACTCCCCACACCTCTGGCCTGTACCCCAGTTCTTGCATGCATAATAAAATAAATCTTTTTTTAAAAAAAGAAAGTTTCCTGCCTCTAAAATTCTGAGAGGTTAAATATTTTACATTATCAGAAGGCTAATTTAAAAATCAGTAAGACTATACAGTAAAACATTAACAACCATATACTGGAAACTGGCAGTCTACTTGCTCCCTATACCAACGTCCCTTTCCTCCTTAGTAACTTCTGAAGTGAGGGGCATACTTTTTCCTTCTTGTTCTTCCCTCCTGCTGTGTGAGTAATGGTTAGCGCTCCAGCAACTTCTGTAGGCCATGAGGTAACTATGAGGATATAAACCACATGTTGTACAGTAGAGTTAAGGAAGCTGAGCCTCTATAGACATTGTGGCACTACCATCCCAGCTCTGGAGTGCTTATCTTCAGTTCTATTAGATGAGAGGATAAACACTTACATGGTGAAACCATTGTTATCAGGGCTGTACCTACAGCTGAACCCATTCCTAAGTGGTTCAGGGACCAACCAACGCCAAGCAAAGCAAAATGAGTATTACAAGGTAATAGAGGATAGGATTATATTTGTATTTCTGACACAGTGTTTATAAAGCCAAGACTAGTGTTTCTTGTAAGTCATTATAAGAACTGAGAGAAGAAGAAAAATGGTCCCATTGACCTTATGTAATACTACAATACTCAATTCTTAGTATTCGCCAACCCATCCTTTTTTATAAAAGGGGGGAGGGAATAAAATCTAAATAAGAGTGGAAACCTTTTGTTGTAGAAGAAAAGTTTGACTCTCTCGCAACTTCTGAGTGTTTTTTTGCAGAGCTTCCGCTTCTTTAAGGTGGGATGTGAGGGCTTTCTGGAGGTACATGTTCTCTTTAAAAACAGTTCTTCCAGCACTATTCAATTGCCTGAAATAGACAGATATAAGATTCCCAAACATGGCACTAAGTTTTAGATATTACCAAACTAAAACAATGATTGCTGTATCCCCCAACTTTACTTATAATTACCTCCACTCATTTATATAGTTTATGATGGGTATTCAGTAGTTAGGTGGGGATCTTGTGACTAAGCTCTTACCAATAATGGGAAAATGAAAAGTGACATATTACTCCAGTTCAAAACAGTTAAGAGCAGGTATGAGATTCCTATGCTCTTTCTTGTCCATAGGACTGGAGGGAAAGAACTCCAAGGTGGAAGCAGCTCAGCTTTCTGAATCACCACTGGGGAAGGGCTGTCAACCCATATTGAGTTGTGGAATAAAAAGTAAACCACTGAGTGGGCCTCCCCGGTGGTGCAGCAGTTGAGCGCTGGGTTGCGAAGCTGCCTGCGGCCTCTGCGGCACCGGTTCGATCCCCGGCTGCTCCCCGGCCACTGGAGGAGGGTCCCACATGGTGCGTGAGCAGACCTCTCCTGCCGCCCACTGCTCCCCTCAGCAGTGTACTTCGGTCCTTCTGCCTGCTCTGCTCCCCGCTCTGGCTCTGGTGAATTCTCTCACCCTCCCGCGCTTCTGACTGTACCCAGTGCATGTATAAACAAAACAAACAAATAAATAAATAAAACATGCCTCTATTAAAAAAAAAAAAAAGTAAACCACTGAGACTTGGGAATTAATTAACACATCACTAACCTATCTCATGACAACCAGGCAAGTTTGCTGTTATTGATCTCATTTTTACTTTTTTTTTTAAAGATTTTTATTTATTCATACATACAAGAACTGGGGTACTGGCCAGATGTGCGGGAGGATGAGAGGATTCACCAGAGAGCGGGGAACAGAACAGGTAGACTGAGTGAAATACACTGCTGAGGGGAGCAGCAGGAGAGACAGGAGAGGTCTGCCTCACCATGTGGGATTCTCGCCGGCAGGCTGGGATCGAACCCGCGCTGCAAAGGCTGAGCTTCACAGTACAGCACTCAACCACCTGCGCCACCAGGGGAGGCCCGATCTCATTTTTATTTATTTATTTATTTTAATATTTTATTTTATATAATTCTTACATCATTTTTCATTTTTGCACAATGTATGCATTTTCATTTTGGTTATATTCCCCATACAATTGCACCCCCCCTTATTTTGACCCTAATCCTTCCTCTCCCCACCCCTCTCCCCTGTAGTGTGTCTCTGGTTTATAGTTGCTTGTTGATTTTGATTTTTACTTTGTATTAATTAGTCTTTTTCCTGGTCCCTTATTTAGGTTTTCTAGATTCCTGTTATGAGTGAGATCATCCAGTATTTTTCTTTCTCTTTCTGGCTTATTTTGCTGAGCATGATCCCTTCTAGCTCCATCCATGTTGCTGCAAACTGCGTGTGTTTTTCTTTTTTGATTGCTGAGTAATATTCCATTGTGTATATGTACCACATCTTCTTGATCCAGTCATCTATTTTTGGGCATTTGGGTTGTTTCCATAGCTTAGTAATTGTAAATAGTGCTACTATAAACATAGGGATGCAGGTGCCCTTTGCAATTGATGTTTCTGTGTCCTTTGGGTAAATACCTAGGAGTGGAATTGCTGGATCATATGGAAGCTCTATCTTTAGTAGATCAAGAAATCTCCACAGAGCTCTCCATAGTGGTTGGACCAGTTTGCACTCCCACCAGCAATGCAGGAGAGTTCCTTTTTCTCCGCAACCTCGCCAACATTTGTTGTTGATAGTTTTTTTAATATGTGCCATTCTCACTGGTGTAAGATGGTATCTCATTGTAGTTTTGATTTGCATTTCCCTGATTACAAGTGCCGATCTCATTTTTAGATGGAAAAAGTTTATTTCGAAAAGGTTAGGAAATCTTCCTATAGTCAGAATACATGTTGAGAACCAAAATCTAACTTCCGAGCCTTGGTTCTTCCCTCTATACTACGTTGCTACAGAAAGACTGGAAAGCAGGGCCACAAAGAGAAAGAAGCAGAGCAAGAAAGTAAACTAGAAATTTTGAAGAAAACAAGGCAGGAGAGAAGGGGAAAGAGAAGAGGCTAGCAGAAAGAAAAAGGAGGTATTTGTCTCTTACGCAATAGCTTCATTGTGGGCCCGCTCTGCCAGCATTATTATCTTCTTTTCAGCTTCTTGTTCTAGTCGGTGCTAAACAAAAGAAAAGAAAATAGGCTCTTTTAATAGTTGTATTACCAGCAACAAACTTTACTTATCAAAAAGTAATTATTTATTTTATAATGTAAGTAGAATTCTCCTATCCACATGACCTGATGTAAACCACTCCAAGTTTTGGTGGGGGAGAGAGCAAAGAGGATAATGTGAACACAGGAACCTTAGGGTATTTTCCCAATCTCCCCACTGAAGAAGCAATGTGATATATAAATAGGAGAAGGGGAAAATACCACCCCATCTGTATTGGAAAGCAGAGCTGGGATAAATTTCTGCTAAATACAATTATGAGGAAAGTCATTTGTTCATTCAACAAATTCCAACTGAGCACTAACAGTGTACCAGATTTTTTAAATGCCAGTACCTGTTTGTACCACCCTCAACTCTATAGTCCCATTAATTTCGGGGGGGGGGGCAAACTGTTCAATATTTCCATAAGAATGAAAAAAAGGAATTAATGAAAGAAAAGCCATAGGCACTCTGAACAGATTCTGTAGAAGTGTTCTAATGTGCTTCCTATATAAAACCTGAAGAATTAACTTCAGAGGCCCAGAGAAAGTGGAAATTTGTGATGTGCTAAGGAACATTTTTGAGTCCTCTTTCATTAAGATCATCCTTAGTATGACTTGACTAAGGGAACAACCTCGTATGCACAAGAGTGGCTGCCCCAATTCTGTCTCTCCCCTATATGATGGGGTACAAGCAGCTTTAGTTCCACTAAGGGAACACACAGCGGTGGGGGATGTGTCCTAAAGCCTTGGCAATCCCTCTTGAGGGTACTGGGAAGAGAAAAAAAGACTAGTCACTGAATATCTAGCATAGCCTTCATTTTCTCTGTTTTTATTCTGCAGTGATTTGATAACATTCTGAAAATATACTAATTAACCCTAATATGCATACCTTTTCTTCAAAAAACTTGCCTTCCAGTCTTCTAAGAGTCTCCTGATGTTTCTGCTCTGTATGCCTTAAATTCTCCTTCAGCTAAAATTAAAATGACAACTGAAAAATCATCAATAGGAAATAGGGTTGATTAGGGCACATGCCTAGAAAATTCTCAATAAGGAAACATTTTCTATTATACATTAATTCTGAACACACAAACTATATCCCTGTCTCTGAATACCATACTTCCCACAATCTTCTATAGATTTATCAGATTAGTATTGATTTTTTTTCAAAATTCTCAGTTTATTCAAACATCATTCCAGTGTTGAAACTCAAAAAAATCTTTTCATGAATAAGTTCTTGGACATTCCAGACAAGTATTCTCATAATCATAGTTCCCAAATTAAAAATTGATACATATGGGCTCACAAAATGATATCTTAGAATTGGAACGGAACCTTGAGTTTACACACTCTTCCATCAAAGATCAGAATCTCTTCTGTAAGAAAACTAAGTAGAGATAGGTGTATCAATCATTCATATCTCATATATTCTCTGCCCTTTAATAGTTCCCATTTTTAGAAAATTCTTCCTAGTGTCAATCGAAAAAAAATCTTTCTTATAGTTCCCAATGCCTATGATTTCCACAGATGAATCCTTCTGTTCTCTAAAAGTACATAGAATAAAAAGGATATAAAATTCTTCTTAGACAAATTTGAGGTAATTTAAAAACAAGACTCAGTCAGACTGAAACAGATATACTGAATCTAATATCCAATTTCCAAAAAAAAGTAGCAGAAGGGCTTCCGGTCAGACAGACCAGAGTTCTAGTGGTACCTTCCCCACTTCCTGGCTGTTTGACTCAGGGTAAGTCACTTCATTTCTCTCTGTCTCAGATCTCCAGGAATAAAAAGAGGGTAACACTATCTCACAGGAGGCGACAAGGGTTAAACAACAATACATTTAAAGTTATTAGAATAGTAATAATTTAATATAAAGATTAGTTATTATGTCTTATGTTGTTCTCCCTTAGACTTAACAATTTTCCATTCTGTGATTGCTGTCCTAACTTTATTAAATTGGATTGACAACTTTTCTATCGTGACCGCATTTAAAAATAGCATATTGGGGCCTCCCTGGTGGCGCAAGGGGTTAAGACACAACATACGAAACTATCCACAGCCACTGAAGTACGAGTTTGATCCCCTGCCAGGGAGATATCCACATGGTGCAGCAGACCTCACCTGTCTCACCTGCTGCACCCCTCAGCAGTGTATTTCAATCAATCCCCCTGTTCTTCTCCCCACTCTGTCTCTGGTGAATCCTCTCTCCTCTCACCCCTCATACCTCTGGCCTGTACCCCAGTTCCTGTATGCATAAATAAATAAATCTTTTTACAAAATAGCATATAGACATTTTAAAAAATGTTTCTACATCGCAGGGGAAGAAAAAGGAAAGTCTATAAACTAAAATATTAACAATGCCTTTACTCTAGATGGGAGATTAGATGGGGTGATTTTATCAGCTAAATTTGTGAAATGGGTATTATCACTGTCAAAAGAAGAAAAACTGAAACTAATTATTTTTTAAAATAACTGCAACATTATCAATAAATAATCCTGTTAATCAGGTATATATAGTAGACAATTTTTTTAAATTTCTGCTTTGGATATCTTTTGAAAAATCTAAATGTAATTAGCTTATTTTTAACTTGTAAATGAATTTTCTATATCCAATATAATTAGTTTTCTTCCTTTATGCTTACCACTCAATTTTATGTTTATGGACTCCCATACCAACCTTAATTCTTCAATATTTGGAATTTCACAGAACTACCTTATTCTTTCCATAAATCAGTATATATACTTTTTGTCTTCCCAATGGCTATCTTTGAAAGGGCTAAATCTATTTCTCCACGAGGTGGCAATATTGTTCTTTAAGAAATGACACAAAGGCCCAGCAGAATATGTTTTTAAGTCACCTCAATTGAATACACCAAATGCCTACACTTAGGGTGGCTATTTTGAGGGCTCCTGAAAAATTATGGAACTTGTTTCAATCTGCAGTATTTTCAAATAAAATAAACCAACATTCCTTGTTAAAAAAATTTTCAGCTTGATTGAAGTAACACTTCAAAATGTAAGTTATTTTTTAAGTTCTGGTTTAAGACCTAGTGAAGAGTGATAACACAAACATAATTAGAGAACAGAGTTATATAATTACTGTTTTAAGGACTTTAAAGAGCTTGAAACTTGTAGGAGAGTGTTCTATAGAAAATACTGCAAAGGTGTCTTTATTACGGTGAGCTACAGAAATTAAAAATTCTAAAACAGCAGTCATATGAATAGTTGTAAAGCAAAAAGTAATCAGTTCATGAATAAAGTTGGCCTCACAGGAAGGTTTTGAGATAACTACACAATTATGATAGGAAGAATCAATTTCTCCCAGCCTAAGAAAGTAACTACTCCCCACCTTGCTTGAAACGTGCCAATTTATTCTTTCATGGGAGCCCTTTAATAAGAGCGTTAAAGTTTTAAAGTAATCAAAACATTATTAACTACTATGCTACCACTTTTACTGGGGATTAATAGGAGACAATGTGCTAAGCATTTTATACACATTATGTTATTTAATCTACACAACATCTCTAAGAGGAGTAGGTGACTTTATTTTTTTTAAGATTTATTTATTTATGCATACAAGAACTGGAGTGTAGACCCAAGGTACCAGGGGTGAGAGGATTCACCAGAGACAGAGCTGGGAGCAGAACATGCAGATTTACTTAAATACACTGCTGACGGGGGACAGCAGGCAAGACAGGAGAGGTCTGTTGTACCATGTGGGTTAACTCACTGGCTGGGGATTGATCTCATGCCCCAATGGCTGGGGGTAGCTTGATAGTGCTGAGACTTTAACTCCTGCACCACCAGGGAGACCCAAGGAGTAGGTGGTTTTAAAGCCACTTTTTATAAAAGAGGAATTCGGAGAATCCTATGAGATTCAGAGAAATTAACAAACAGACCACGAGGCCACACAGCTATCAACTGCAGAGTTAGCATGTGAAGTTCATGATCTTAACCACCACATTATCTTATCTATCTTACTCATTTGTCATATGCCCACCCTTTTAGTTTAACAGTTAGCTAAAAAGTAAACAGAAATAGGATGCAGAAACTTTGGTTTGTCATCAAAGCTGGTTCTGGCTATGTAGGACCGTGGGTAGCCAAAGGAGCACTAGAGAGACCACACCGTGACTGGAGAGTGAGAGGCACTAAAATGGATAGTTGGAGGGCTTTAAATAAAACTTACTGTAATAATCATAATTTTAGCAAGAGAATAATAACAGCAGGATCAGTGAAAGCAGGTAATATTTAGCACACAGTGTTAAGCATTTAAAACATTATCTCATTTATTCTTCACAATGACCCTTTGAAGTTGATATAATTCTCAACTCCACTTTACAACTGAGGAAATTTAACAAGACACCTAAGTAATTGGAGACAGTATTTATATTCTTTCAGTCTGACATAAGAGTACCAACATCTAACTCCTACACCTCATGCCACATGGTTAACTTAGAATGCAATAATATTTCTTTGACTATTACTACAAATATCAGCAGTATTCATGTATATTCATTTGTGTGTTAAGGGTCAGCTCACACCAGTTCATTGCTAGCAGGTTGTTAAAGCATTGGCAGCTAAAATTAGCCATCATAAAAGCATTTAAACCAAAGAAACCGCAAATGCTACAAATGAGGACCCTTTTTTGAAGAGAGCTACATACCACTGTTAACATTCTCATTATGTAACATATATATTTTAGCACTTTAGATATGTTAACTCATTTAGTTCTTACAGCAGTTCTGTTAGTAACTCTCATTATCCTTATTTTACAGATAAGGAAACCAAAGTATAGAGAGATTAAGTAACTTACCCAGAGTCACAAAGCTGACTTTAGCTACTTGTGCCCAGCACTCACCTCTATTTTTTACTGTATTATCATTAATACAATAATACTACACCCTAAGCTGAAGGAATGGAAAGTAAGAGAAAGCACATAAATAGTTCGGAAAAACTTCCTGAAAATAGTCAGTTTCCGTACCCCACCCACCCCTACCCAGAGAACTTTCTAAAATTATCATTTATCAGCCTCAATATATTGCCTTTAAAACTATGCATCTTTGGCCCCACTGGTTTCTAAGAACTATAGTTTGTTTCTTATTGAAGTCACTCTATAACTGTGGATATAAACGTAGGAGGGTAAATGAGCTAAGATCTGGTGAATTCACAAATTAATACATGGAAAGAGAAAAGTCTAACCATTAAGATCTTTTGCATTTAGTTCTAAACTGATGTCTTCCACTTTTCTCTCAAATAATCTTTAAAATGTCAAGGGGAGTCCTTTATACCATCTCATGAGAGAAAATGTCTATGAAGGCTCTTATAGACCTAAGTATTTAATTTTATCAATAAGCTTGGGAGAAAAAGAGAGAGAGAAACTTACATCATCTAATTCTTTCTCCACTTGGATTTTTCTCTTCTGGAATTGTTTTATTGTTTTCAATTCTGCTTGAATCATGCTTATTTCTCTGGCTTTTTGATGGAACTGTCCCTCCAGCTCATTTATTTGCAGAGTATACTTTTGTTCCTACATGCAAAAAAAAAAAAAAAAAAGAAAAAAGAAAAAGCGAACAGGTAAATGAGTCAGGAAAGAGAACAGCAGCCCCACTCAGTCATGTTCTGACTGAAGCTGTAAGCCATTTGCCTATCTTCTTTGAAGAAATAGTCCCTTTTCATTTTTGCATAGTTTTAAACTTTGTAAAAAGATATCAACTGCCTTGAATAAGAAAAAAATTCTAGAATAAGTTTTATATGGAAAACACAGATCTTTACTAAAAAGAGGTATGAGAAGACTAAACAATCTGTACCCTAACCTGTAAGATAAATAACATCACTGACCCTAAATTGAAATTAATAAGCTAAAAGACAGAAGGCCACTATCTCTCAAAAGTAAATCAAGGGGGGAAAAAATGGGAGAAAGAGGAAGGAGGGGGTAAGAGGAGAAAGGAAGGGTAGGAAAAAGGAAAATGGAAGGAGGTAAAGAAAAAAGGGCCAATAGGATTTAAAAAAAATGGATAGAAAAAAAAAAAATGGATAGAAGTCAGATTTCTCAGAATATTCTATGTTTTGTAAATTTGACTTTGGAACCATATATCTTATTAATTATAATTATATAATTACATAATTTACACGAACAATTAAATTTTTAAAATTTTATTATTATTTTCAATACATATATTTTACATCATTCTTCCTTTTTGTAGAAAGCATGTTTTCTTCTCTCAAGTGTAGTCCCCATAAAATTCCAGCTACCAATTTACCTGTGCACCATCACCAGAGTCCCTTGTGTCTTCCCTCCCATGTTTTGATCCCTCGCCCGCCCCCTCCCCTGCAGAGTATCTGATTAATAGTTGCTTGTTAATTTTGGTTTTTAGTTTTATAATTTTTTTCCTTATCCCTTATTTGGTTTCCCTACATTTCTCCTATAAGTAAAATCATCCAATACTTTTCCTTTTTCTTTCTGGCTTATTTCACTGACTGTAATCCCTTCCAGCTCCTCCATGTTGCTGCAAGTGGCATGAGTATATCTTTAAAAAAAAAAAAAAAGATTTATTTCATTCATTTATGCATACAAGAGCTGGGGTGTAGGCCAGAGGTGGCAGGGGTAAGGAGATTCACTGGAGACAGAATATGGAGCAGAACAGGCAGACCGACTGAAATACACTGCTGAGGGGAGCAGCAGCGGGTGAGACAGGAGAGGTCTGCTGCGCCATGTAGGTTAGCTCCCTGACTGGGAATTAAATTGGCACTGCAGTGGCTGCAGATTGCTTCATAGTGCTGAGATTTAACCCCTTCCTCCACCAGGGAGGCCCAAGTTTATCTTTTTTGATTGCTGAATAGTATTCCATTGTGTGTATATGCACCACATTTTCTTGATCCAGTCATCTATTTTTGGGCATTGGGTTGTTTCCATATCTTACCTATTATAAATAGTGCTGTAATAAACATAGGAGTGCAGGTATCATTTTGAATTAATGTTTCTGTGTCCTTTGGGTAGATTCCCAGGAGTGGAATTGCTGGGTCATGTGGAAGCTCCATTTTTAGTAGTTTGAGGAACCTCTACACAGCTTTCCATATTGGTTGGACCAGCTTACATTCCCACCAGCAGTGTAGGAGAGTTCCTTTTTCCCCATATCCTCCCCAACATTCGTTGTTTCCTATTTTTTAATGTGCCATTCTCGCTAGTGTGAGGTGGTATTTCATTGTGATTTTGATTAACATTTCCCTGATTACAAGTGATGTTGAACATTTTTTCATATACCTGTTGGCCTTTTGCATTTACTCTTTGAAAAAGTGTCTTTTTAGCTCTTCTGCCCATTTTTTGACTGGATTATTTACTTTGTTTTTGTTGAGTTGAGTTGGCTCTTTGTAGATCTCTGTGACTACTCCCTTATCAGCAGTATTGTGCAAAATTTTTTTTCCCAATTAGTAGGATGTCTCTTTGTTTTGGTCAATGTCTCTTTTGCTGTACAGAAGCTTTTTAATTTGATGTAGTCCCAACTGTTCATCTTTTCTTCACTTTCTTTGCTTTGGGGGATGTGTCTTTGAAGATGTTACTGAGATGTATGTCATGTATTGTTTTGCCTATATTTTCTTCTATAATTTTACATGCACAATTAATTTTTTTATTTTTTACTTTTTTTTATTGTGGTAACATTGGCTTATAATACTGTATATGATTCAGAGGTATAGGTTCACACCTCTTCAGATACATGCTCACAAATTTTTTAAAAGCAGCTCATAAAGAAAGAAGCCAAATGGGTGGTTGGTGGCAATTCCCCACAGAAAGGAATTTTTTCAAATAGTTTTTAAACCTGGTGATTTGATCGGCAATGTGAATGGTATATATCCAAAGGGGGAAAAATGCCCCCAAATGTTAAAACTGTTTCCATTAATCTGTGTCAGTGGTAGTAGTAATATCCTGTGACTGTTGAGGTATTGAGGTTTAAAGCAATAATACAACTAGATTGGCATCAGCAAGAACCAGGATTTCTGGTGAAGGAGAAAGGAGATAAAATGAAGTAAAAACCTTGTACTCATACATCTGAATTGAAAGTATTAAAAATATGGAGTCATGATACACTTAAATATTTAAAAATAATATAATTCCTAGCTCTGTCCACTGAAAAATCCCACCTAGAATGACAGTCCAAGATAAGTGAGCACTACTAACGCCAGATGGTTTTCAAGTTTCCCATAATAACATTTTCATGTTGAGTTTTTGTACAATCATGTGAACTTTAAAGTCACTGAACTGCACAGAGGACCTGTTCACTTATCCTCACTGTGTCTTAAATAACTGAACCTACCAGAAACTTGACTGCCCAGTAAGTGAATTATTTGTGGGCATAGATACTCACCAACTTTTCCTTCTCTTCTTGTGCTTTTTCCTTCGTTTCATTTAGTTGCTCTTTCAGTTTTTCAATCTGTAAAATAGGAAAATAGAGAATCAGGAAGATAAACAGTGTATACCTTTATTGTGGTACCTTTATTGTGACATGCCTTAATTAAATGGCTAGTTTTAATATGATACTAAACCCACTAGGGTTGGAGAGGTGGGATAAGGTAGGAAGAAGAGAAGAGCTGGTGATATTCTCCCTGCCCTTAACCTGCTATTGCCAGTTTCCAAAACCTACCAGTTTCCAAAAAGTTACCTGGGTAACTTTTTCTTTTTCATTGTGGTAAGAAACACATTTAATTTACCACCTTAAGCATTATTAAGAATACAATTTACGCCTCCCCTGGTGGCCCAGGGGGTTGAGTGCCGCGCTGTAAAGCTGTCAGCAGTCTCTGCAGCACTGGTTCAATCCCTGCTGGCAGGTGAGGGTCGCACATGATGCGGCAGACCTCTCCTGTTGTACCCGCTGCTCCCCTCAGCAGTGTATTTCGTCAGCCTGCCTGTTCTGTTCCCCACTCTGTCTCTGGTGGATCCTCTCACCCTCCCGTGCATCTGGCTTGTACACTGGTTCTTGTGTAAATGAATAAATAAATCTTTGAAAAAAAGCGTGTTAGGTATATTCACATTATTGTGCAACTCAAGCGTGTTAGGTATATTCACATTATTGTGCAACAGATATCTACAACTTTTTCATCTGAACTCATGAAACATTAATTCTTCCTCCTACCTTCCTACTCTGCCCCCTTAGCAACCACCTTTTGACTGTTTTTATAACTTTCATTACATTAGATACTTGATATATGTGCACTCATACAGTAATTATCCTTTTGTGACTGATTATTTCACTTGGTATCACCTTGAGTTTCATCCGTGTTGGAGTGTGTGACAGGATATTCTTCATAAGGTTGCATAATATTCACTGTTTATCACATGAAAACAAGGTCACTTAGTGAAGGCCATGCATTGCTTGATGATATTTCAGTCAATGGCTGACCAACTATTCTACTGTGGTTGCAATAGGCTATACCATGTAACTTAGGGGTGTGGCAGGCTACACAACTAGGTTTGGGTCATTACACTCTGTGACATTTGCACTATGACAAAATCACCTCATGGCACAATTCTCATAACGTCCCCGAAGTGACAGGTGACTCAATACACCACATTTTCTTTTTTTTTTAAAGATTGATTTATTTATGTATACAAGAACTGGGGTACAGGCCAGAGAGGTGGGGGTGAGAGGATTCACCGGAGACAGAGTGGGGAAGAGAACAGGCTGATTAACTGAAATACACTGCTGAGGGGAGCAGCGGGGGAGTCAGAAGAGGTCTCCTGTGCCATGTGGGTCAGCTCCTTGGCCAGGGATCAAACTATGCTGCAGTGGCTGCAGATAGCTTCATAGTGCTGGGTCTTAACCCCTTGTGTCACCATGGAGGCCCCTACCACATTTTTTTTATTCACTAATTTGTCAATGGACTTTTGGCTTGCTCCCATTTCTGGGCTTACATGACTAATTCTTCAACAAACACAGGTTTTCAAATACCTCTTCAAGATCTTGTTTTGAATTCTTTTGGGAATGTAGGCAAAACTGGGCATGCTAGATCACATAGTAATTTTTTTTTTTAAATTTTTTGCTGTTTTCCATAATGGCTGCACCATTTTATTTATTTATTTATTTATTTTTACTTTTTTAATTTTATATATTTTTAACATTTTTCATTTTTGCACAATATATGCATTTTCATCTTGGTTATAGTCCCCATACAATTCCCACCCCCCTTATTTTGACCCTAATCTCTCTTCCTCCCTCCTCCCCCCTTTAGTGTGTCTCTGGTTTATAGTTGCTTGTTGATTTTGATTTTTACTTTAGTATAATTATTCTTTTTCCTGGTCCCTTATTTAGGTTTTCCAAATTCCTGCTATGAGTGAGACCATCCAGTATTTTTCTTTTTCTTTCTGGCTTATTTCGCTGAGCATGATCCCTTCTAGCTCCATCCATGTTGCTGCAAATTGCATGTGTTTATCTTTTTTGTTTGCTGAGTAATATTCCATTGTGTATATGTACCACATCTTCTTGATCCAATCATCTATTTTTGGGCATTTGGGTTGTTTCCATAGCTTAGCTATTGTGAATAGTGCTGCCATAAACATAGGGGTGCAGGTGCCGTTTTGAATTAATGTTTCTGTGTCCATTGGATAAATACCTAGGAGTGGAATTGCTGGATAATATGGAATCTCCATCTTTAGCAGGTTGAGGAATCTCCACATAGCTTTTAAAGACTCTTCACCCAAAGCAGTGATAGCGAAGGCAAAGATAAACATCTGGGACTACATCAAATTAAAGAGCTTCTGTACAGCAAAAGAGACAGTAACCAAAACAAACAGACACCCCACCGACTGGGGGAAAATTTTTTGCCACAACACTACTGATGAAGGGCTGATGACAAAAATCTACAAAGAGCTGACGAGACTCAACAAAAACAAAGTAAATAATCCAGTCAAAAAATGGGCAGAAGAGCTAAAAAGGAACTTCTCCAAAGAGGAAATGCAAATGGCCAACAGGCATATGAAAAAATGTTCAGCATCACTTGCAATCAGGGAAATGCAAATCAAAACTACAATGAGGGACCATCTTACACCAGTGAGAATGGCACATATTAAAAAAAAAAAAAAAACTAGTAGCAACAAATGTAGCCGAGGATGTGGAGAAAAAGGAACTCTCCTGCACTGCTGGTGGGAGTGCAAACTGGTCCAACCACTATGGAAAGTTGTGTGGAGATTCCTCAAGCTTCTAAAGATGGAGCTTCCATATGATCAGGCTGCACCATTTTACATTCCCAGCAACAGTGCACAAGGTTCTAATTTCCCCACATCCTTCCCAATACACTTGCCATTTTTCTTTTTAATATTTGTTTGCTTTGTGTAGAAGAACTGGGGTATAGGTCAGATGCAGGGGTTGAGAGGATCCACCAGAGACAGAGTGGGGAACAGAAAAGGCAGATTAACTGAAGTACACTGCTGAGGGGAGCAGCAGGTGAGACAGGAGATGTCTGCTGTGCCATGTGGGTCAACTCCCTGGCTGGGGATAGAACTCATGTGTCTTTAGCCCCTGCACCACCAGGGAGGCCCAATGAAGTAAAATTTAAAACTACAGTATGAATTGTTTTGGGATACAATGAAGCACACCATCTTCAGCACACTGGAAATTTCCTTGGGTTTTCATGGGCCTCAGAGGCAAATGGAAAGAAAAGTATTCTAAATTACACCTAAATTCCACTTTAACACTGACTAGCTAGTGCCTCGGCAAGTTACTGTCCTTTCTGAGAGTCTACTTCTACATCTGTAAAATGGGAACAATAATATTGTGACTGCATGGTGCTACTAAAAGGACTAAATGAGAATAGAAGTACCTAGCACAGTTCCTGGCACAAAATAGGGGCTCCAAAATGTTAGTTCATGGGCCTCCCTGGTGACACAAGGGTTAAGCACAGCATTGTGAAGCTATCCACAGCCTCTGCAGTATGAGTTCGATCCCTGGTCTGCCAGGGAGCTACACACATGGTGCAGCAAACCTCACCTGTCTCACCCGTTGCTCCCCTCAGCAGTGTATTTCAGTCAGTCCGCCTGTTCTGTTCTGTTCCCCACTCTGTCTCTAGTGAATCCTCTCACCCCCCCACCAGCACCTCTGGCCTGTACCCCAGTAATTGCATGCATAAAAATAAATAAATCTTAAAAAAAAAAGTTAGGGTCCTTCTCTGTTTTCTTTTAAATTAAAAATGACAGCTTTGTGGGCCTCCCCTGGTGGCGCAGCGGTTGAGAGCTGGGTTGCAATGCTGCCCATAGCCTCTGCAGCACCAGTTCGATCCCCGGCCACCAGCGAGGGTCCCACCAAAAAAAAAAAAAAGACAGCTTTGCTCTCAACATTTAAGAGTCAGTAATACAAATTCAAGATTCAACTGGCCAAAAGGAGGAGATTCAACTTGTTGGGGCCATAATCATGTTCACATGGATTATCAGAGATTTACTTTATAAATAATTAAAACTAAGTAAATATCAGTATCAAAAAATGTATATGGGCCCCCTCCCCAGTGGCGCAGCGGGTTGAGTGTAGCGCTGTGAAGCTGTCCAAAGCTTCTGTAGCGTGGGTTCGATTCCCGGCTGGCCAGGGAGATTCCCACATGGCGCCGCAGACCTCTCCTGTTGTGCCTGCTGCTCCCCTCAGCAGTGCTTTTGGTTTGTCTGCCTGTTCTGCTCCCCACTCTGCCTCTGGTGAATCCTCTCACCCTCCTGTGCCTATGACCTGTACCCCAGCTATGTATGAAAAAATAAAAAATAAAAAAATCTAAAAATAAGTGTATGATCTATGTATATCTATGTATATGATTTATGCTCTTGTCCTTAAAATGGATCATAAAGTCCCTTATGATCAACATGTTTCAGATAAAAAAACAAAATATGGGACAAAAACTGAAAATAAGAAAGAATCAATTCTGACAGCAGTCATTTTGAAATAGCGTTCTGCCAGAACAAGTTCTAAAGTTAACTGAAATGTTTTAAGTGTAATGAGATTTCAAGGAATTAAAATCCTTGAAATATACACACCACACCACAGTAGAACCACAGAGGTAGTTATTAGGCTCAGAAGGGGTTTCTACCTACCTACCATATTATCTTTCTCCTGATCCTGCTTCTTCAGGAAGCTTAACACACACATTGTGTCTTTCTCCATTTTGTACTGCTGTCTCTTTAAGTCCTCATTGGTTTTTGCCAGTCTCCTGGAAGCATCACGATACTCAATCCTAGAAAGCTCTGTGACTTCCAGCCTGGCTTCCCAGAGGGAGGCATTGGCCTTGGCTCTCTCCACCACAGATTCATCAGTTTTCGTTGCCTTCCTAATGGAAAGAGGACATAGACAATGTGTAACTATTTCTCTATTTTTTTAGCATTATACCTCAATTATTATATATTTTGCTTGGCATTGCTTGGCACATGTGAGTAAATATTGTTTGGTGAATGAGTTGATAAAAAATACATCATTTACTTGAAAAGTAAGAGGGAACTTTTGAAGAATAATCTAAAGGAGTGAGAAAACAAAGTGGAAAGACAAGTCAAATTCACTTCATAAAGCTTTCACATCTTTTCATTTATTTTTTTGATTATCTCATATTTGAACTGTCTTTCCTATTCTTACTCAGTCTTACACCTTGCTTCTCTCTATTGCAACCCACTACCTTAGTTCTCCTTCTGTGTAGTTAGATTTGTAGTGTTATGTTTTAAATCTATAGTTCTATAATCTTTCACTTATCTCTACCCCAGTTTTTGATTTTGTTTTTTAGCTAGGCCTTTGATAAAAGATCAGTCACTAGCTAAGTATGTTAAATATTTTATCAGCTAGTGCCACAAAACTCCAAGTTTCAAGGATGGCTGAGAAATAAACCACAATCAAGTATCCAGAAGTGGAGAGGAAATTTTAAAAAGTAAAGGAAGGTTTCCAACATTAAAATGATGAAAGGGGAGATTTTCAAAATAACAACTTACAAGCATTAACAAAACATCTATATAATACGGTAGACACTAGATATATAAAAAATTACATAATAAATAAGACTATCTGTATTTGAATTCTAAATATTTTCACACATATGAATATGTGTTCCTTTCCATTCCCACCCCCAGTTCCTAGTTCTCAATCTTTTTGCAGTCCCGCTCACTTTTTGTCCTCTTCAAATTTAAGCCAATTCCATGCTCAATCCCCAGCCTGTTCTAGCAGTTATCTCTTTCCAGCATGATTAGGCACCAGCTATAGACTGCCTTGCTACAATCAGCCAATTGCTCCCTGAAGGTATCAGGTCTAAGCTGCTCAAAGTAGATAATGAAAGAAATCAGATACCTGGGCCTCCCCAGTGGTGCAATGGGTTGAGCACAGCACTGTGAAGCTGTTTGCAGCCTCTGCAGCGCAGGTTCAACTCCCAGCCGGCCAGGGAGATACACACATGGCGTGACAGGCCTCTTCTGTCTCACCTGCTGCTCCCCTCAGCAGTGTGCTTCGGTCAGTCTGCCTGTTCTGTTCCCCACTCTGTGTCTGGTGAATTCTCTCTCCCTCCTGCACATCTGGCCTGTACCCCAGTTCTTGTATAAATAAATAAATCTTAAAAAAAAAAAGAAATCAGATACCTCCTTTACTCCTATCACTCGTTTGTTTCTACTGGTGATAGAAATAAAGCAGTTTCGGGCCTCCCCGGTGGCGCAGCGGTTGAGCGATGGGTTGCGAAGCTGCCCGCAGCCTCTGCAGCACCCGTTTGATCCATCCCCGGCTGCTCCCCGGCCAGCGGAGGAGGGTCCCCCATGGCGCACAGACCTCTCCTGCCGCCCGCTGCTCCCCTCAGCAGTGTGTTTCGGTCCTTCTGCCTGCTCTGCTCCCCGCTCTGGCTCTGGTGAATTCTCTCACCCTCCCACACTTCTGACTGTACCCAGTGCTTGTATAAATAAATAAATAAATGTTTAAAAAAAAAAAGAAAAATCTTTAAAAAAAAAGAATTTATTAAAAAAAAAGAAATAAAGCAGTTTCTCAAATTATGAGTAATGGAATATGCAAGGAGTAGGAGATCTGTTATCTTCAATGTTACTCATTGTTCACACACATACTGTAGATGCATGGCCAAAGACAGAAAATACATGCTAATGAGTTCCAGAATGCCATAAGTCGTTGGCACTTTTTAAAGGTGCTAGAACGCGCACGCGCGGGCACACACACACACACACACACACACACACACACACTTGCATAATCAGACTATAGAGTACTTTTTAAAATTGAGGTAACATTGGTTGGTTTACATAATTGTTTTAGAGGTGTTGTTACCATACCACACCTACCACAGAACCCACAGTCCATTCCCAGAGTCCATTATGTTCCCTCCCCTTTGTTCTCATTTTTCCTGGTGCCCATCTCCTGCTGGGCACCTGGCATCAGCTTTCCAGGGCTTGTTAGTTTGGCATTATCTGATCCTTTGTTTGATATCTCTATATTCCACATGTAAGTGACACCATCTGGTATTTGTCTTACTCCTTGTAGAAGACTATTTATATTAGTACATGGAGTGGAGATGGGGAAACTACGTACAAGTAAGTACATGGGGCTATCATTTTACAAAAAAGAAAAAGAATGATAGTTAGTGGTTATCTTTGGATGATGTGATTACAGGTGATTTTTTTTTTCTCTTGACTTTCCATGTTTCTTAAACTTCCAGTACTGAGCATATATTGCTACTCTCTTAAATTACAAGTTTTGAGGATTCCTTTGTGGTCCCATATATGGTGGCGTTGGACAGTATATGTGACTCCACTGTTTCTAGAAATCACCAGGTTACCCAGTAGTCCTAGTGGCAAGCCAGTAGCAACTCCAAGTTTACAAAGTGTTTGTGCTAGAGATTTAACAATCTTTAGGGTTCTGATCAGTTTGGAGAATTTGCAACAACTACTCAATTCAGTCAAATCCATTAGGTTTTTCTCTGACCCAAAGGGGATTTCTGAAAATGCTCAAGGAACTACTTTAATCACACACAGGTCTTCTAGATGTTAAAGATCATCTCAGCCACAAAGCAGAGATCCCTCAGGCTAAAAAAGCAAGAAAGAATGAACTCAGCAGAGGGTGGTGGGGGGAGAAAAGAAGATCCACATTGAGGCATACACAAACAGATACCTTAATTTGTTTATTTAACAAATATTAAGCATCTGTTATACTAGGTGCTGAAGATAATGGTGAATGATATTTAATGCCTATTCTACAGAAGTTTATGGTCTTGAGCAGGGCTTCCCAACTGGCACTACCGAAATTCTAAGCCAAATGAGTCTTTGTTTGGGGGTGAGAATAGGGGCTATGTGATGTGTCGTAGGGCGTTTAACAACATTCTTGGTCTCTACCCACTAGATGCCAGTAGCCCCCATCTCCAGATGTGACAATCAAAAATGTCTCCAGATTATACAAACTGTCCCCTGGGAACCAAAACCAAGCCCTACTGATAACAACTGGTCTAGAGCAGTGTTGTCCAATATAACTTTTTATGATAAAAAGTTCTATATCTGTGCAAACACAGTCACCACTAGTCACATGTGCCTGCAGGGTTTATGAAATGTGACTAGTACAAATGAGGATCTGGTTTTTTAAAGTTAATTTTAACTAATTTCAATTTCATAGCCAGACATGGCTGGTGGCTACTTGAGGACCTCCATACACCAAGAAATAGTAACCTGACCTTCACTTTTAGGGTCAGAATTAACTTCCTCACTCTCAGTTCTCTTCTCTTCCACTGGCGCCTGTATCATCTGGTCCTGTATTACTTTTACTCTTTGGGAACTCAGTCTGTCTTCCGTCCGTGCAGGCACATTGGTGGGGCTGTCTAAATTACTTCAGGGCCCCAAGTCTCATACTCAATTGTCTAAATTCAAGCAATACAGTTTGGTGTGCACTGGAGGAATTTCTGAACTATGGCAGCTGTCCTCAGAAGCGGGAAGAGCCAGAGCAGGGCCGAGGAGGGTCGTCGGGAGGGCACCAGCTAGCCAGTCCCCTGCCTCTCCGAGGCCCGCGTCCCGCCGGCTTCCGGACCCTATCCGTCGGGTCGGCCAGCCCTCGAAGGACTCCCAGGGCGACTTCTCCTTACTTCTTCTTGTCTTTGCCTTTCCTTTTGTCCCTCCCCTTCGCCGGCATCCCAGCTGCTCGAGCGGCGCGGGCAGGGGTGGTCGCCACTACGCGACTCCCCCAGCTTGGCTCTGTTGCTAAGGAAACCAGCACGCCGAGCGGGGATCTGCCCGCCCGGCCGTTGCGGGAGCGCGGAGAGCGCACGCGCGCGTGACGTGGCCCGCCGCCGCCGCCGGGGCCCAGTCCGCGGGCCGGGCGGGGGGCGGGGCGGAGAGCGCGCCGAGGGCGGCGGGTGGCCGCGCCGGGCGGCGCGCGCGGTGAGTGTGCGAGCGGCGGGGGCGCCCAGCCCTGACTGGGGTGCGGCGCGGGCCGGGGGCGGGCCGCGGGCGTGCGGGGGCGCTGGTGCGGGCCTGCCGCGGGCGGCGGCGCGGCGTCCTGCGGGCCGGGCGTCTCGCGCGGCGCGGCTGTCGGGGCGCCCTCGCCTCAGGAGGCTTCCTCGGGCGTCCGCCCGCCCCGCCGCGGCCGTCACGGCGCCGCCCCCCGCCGCTTGGCGGCCCGGGCGCCTCACCCGGGGGCCTCCCCTTCCCGCGCGCCCCGCCCACCGACCTGCCTCTGCCTCGCTCTCGCCGCGGCCCCTCAGCCGCCCCGGCGCTGGTCTCCTCAGCCCTTCCCCGGCTGCTGACTCTGCGCTGAGCCCGGAGGGACGGAGCACCCCGCCGACCGCCCGGGCCAGAGTTGTGTGACGGGGCGGTTGGGGACTCCCCGGGCGCGGCGGGGCGGGGCGCCCGGGCCCGGGGTCCGGGAGCCCGGCGGAGGCAGAAGTGCTGTCACCCGGGCGGGAGAGGCTCCCGGGGCGGGAGGGGGTCGGGCCCGCGGTCCGGCTGTGTCCTGTGACCCACGCCACCCGCCCAGAAGCGGCCCGGCCTTCCCTTTCGCTGACACTTCGTGGGTCCCCACCCCCCTTCACTGCGAGTTGAAAGCCTTTTGGTGTCTTTTCCTGAGCGCCACTATGAGGAGTACTCACAAGTATTCTCCTTTTTCGGAGGAGGTGCTCTGTGACTATGCTTCATTCAGTGGCAGTGAGTCATTGAGGGAGTTAGTGTTCTGGGTGCCAAGACGTTTGTTCTGGAATGGCTTGTGATTGAAGCTCTCCGTTACCCATTTCAAACGGAATTTCAGTTTTCTTTGAAACTGGGTTGTCGAGCCTTGCTTGCTTTCTCTAGGCAGAACTTAAACCCCCACATCCCTCCCAGTGATCTCTGACCTCCGATTCACCCTCCCCCGCTTCACGTCCCCCACATTTCCTCCTCCCTGCTTATATAGCTTTTGTTTCTAGATTCTGTGGTTAGAGGGAACATGATGATTTGTTGATGAGCACTGAGAATCTTTTTTATTGATACCATCTGCTAGCATGACCCTGGCTTACTTTGTTTCTGGTGCATCTCCACTTCTGCATGTCACAGTCCTTTGGGTCCATAATGGAAACACCATAAGTTGAGGGAGTTTTCCCTGATAGGGAATCTGTAAAGTTTCCATTAATTTCAGGTTCCATCAGTTTCAGGTTCTGAAAATACATCCTGTTGATAGATGCAGAAAAGCGAGAGTAGGACATTTACTATCACAGGTTTTAAGTTTGGAATTCATTCTAAAATTTGGTTACTGTGCTTTTTAGTGTGAAAGTCTGTCTCTAAGACTTTCACCATTTAAACATAGGTTTACAGACTCATTTAAAAACAGTAATTTGTCACGATTATTTCTAAAGTGTGCACAGTACTTTAATTACATGTATTAGTTATTTTGTACGACAAAATAACTGACTGTAAGCTTGATTTTCTAGTTAACACTGTTGTAACATGAATATGGTTGAAAGAACTGCCTTAATTCATACTGTGGTAGAAGTGGTTCTAGAATCTGTAGTCTTCTGAATCTCTGTTCTCTGCCAAAGATTTGGATGTTATTCAGCCATTTGTTAGTAAGAAACAATAGATGGTATAGATAGTAGGGTAGGAAGTTGCTAGTTAGCAATTCCTCTGGTAGCATTTGCTTCCATAATTTTTGGTAGTTTTGCTGTGAAGTTTCAGGGATTATTTTGCTAAGTAAATTTGCTTTGTTTTGTTGTTTAGAATGCTAATGCTTTAAATACTTGGAATAAGCCATATAATGTTTTGACTTGGCTTTGTAATTTTTTTTTTTTCAGTTTGCATAGTTCCTGATCAACATAGAAATGTGGAGTATCTTGACTGAATCCTCATGCAGACAAGATGATGATGGTGCTGGTAGGCAGGACAAGGTAACAATTCTGTTAGCTTAAAATTGTACTTCGTGAAGTTTTTTTCTTTTTTTTTCGTGACTAGGATTCTTTTTTTGGGAAATTATGGTAACTTTCTCTTGTCCCATTGAATGTAATTCCATTAAGTTTGGAGATGCTAAAAACCAAGTACAAAATATAATACAATTACAAAGTATATATTTTGTAAATATATTTTGTAAATACTATGTAGTATTTCTAATTTTTTTTCTTCCAGTAATTTGAAATTGGGTATACTGTGCAAAGTCATATGTGACTATTTTGGTTTAGCTTAGAAACCAAATATCTCTTTTAGTTTGGAGACAAAGTTTTTCCTTCTAAATCATCCTTGAAATCATGTGATAGCAGATCCTATAAGTGGAAGAGACTGGGTGAAGAGATTTTGATTTTTTTTTTTCCCCACACAGCCTTTTGAATCCTGGATAATATATTATTGTCCAAATTATATCTGAAGGGACTAATTGAATATCAAGGGGAGTTAATTACTTTCATCCTATTTTATTATATGTGCTGCTTGCATAGAATTCTATAGGTATTACCTTGTGATATTATAACTAGTTCATATCACTGTAGGGGCATTGTAAGGAATTCTAGAGATCAAAGATCAACTATTTTAACATTTCATTCTTTTATAGATATGATACTTTGCTACAGATAATTATTACCTATTGGCAATTTATTTGCAAAATATCTAATTTTTATTAGTTATCCATCTGGACAAAGCCATTAACCTGGAACTAACAATTAGATCTTTGAGACTAATTATATACCCAAATTTCACATCCACTAATCTGAATTTTCATGTCATGGATCTGTCAAATGTTCATTCGAGAAGTGTTTAGTACTAATTATGTACCAACTTCTCTAATAGCTTGATGGATACAGTGGGGACAAGACAGGGCCTCTGCTTCCACGTGGCTTACAGTCAGATGTATATTGATCTGGACATTGATCTCCAAGAATACATAATGTCCTAGGCACCTATATGCAAACAGTTAACAATACACAATTGGAATATAAACAACTGCAAGCAGTGATTGATAAAAGAGAGATGCCATAGACTCTGAATGCAACAGGTATTTGGAGACATGAAGACTATTATAATCAGGGAAAGTTTACAAAAGGAAGTAGACTTCAAAGAAAAGGGAAGGCTTTCTGGGAAGGTAGAACAAAGTAAAGAAAATTCAATGCATACCTGAAACCAGGAGTAATTTAACTAGAGTAGTGGTTCCCGAAGTGTGGTCTGTGTACCAGTATCACCTGGAAACTTGCTTGATACTGTTATAGAGCAGCCCCGATATGCGCTTTATGGTGACCAACGCAAGAAAAATTACTTTGGGCTGGTCAACCACGGGTGAAGCTTGCAAAGCACATTGGGCGCCAAGCTGTTATAGAGCAGCCCCGATATTTAACGGGTTCCTGGCTGTGGGTCCTCACCCGCGCGCTTAAAAGGGACTTATTAATACTCCACTACAGGCACACACAAAAGGTTAATAAAAGGTTTATTTACAAGGGAAAAGGAAATAAGGAAAATGTACAACTCAGGGAGAAAATAGGGAAATAAAGTCTTTAATGCATCCTACCCGATCCGACGACCTGGAAACCCAAAGTCACTCAGCTGGCCAGATGCTGCTAGCTGGTGGAGAGCCAAAATGGGGGACCCCCAAAGCCCATGTGTCTGCCTTTTATATCAACCTGGCTGCTTAACCCCACCCTCAGGTCCCAGCTACCTTCCCTTAGGTGGTGAGGGAATTTGGAGTTCCCAGTGTCTTTGGCTTTGGCCTGGGGTGGGGATGGAGTCCACAAAGCCTGTATGGAATTAGCTTTAGGACATCCTTTTCCCCCTAATAATACCAGAATCTCAGGCCCCACTTGAGAGCTACTGAGTCAGAAATGCTGGTAGTGAGACCCAGCAATCTGATTTAATGAGCTCTCCAAGTAGTTCTGATGCTTGTTAAAGTTTGAGAACTAGAGCAAAGGGTTTTTGTATGTAAGTAATAGACACAAAAATTTAAAAAGGAGTTTGTCTTTTATCCTCAGAGCAAAGTCATCAGCTTATGACGTGAGGATTGGATTTGGTACATATATACATTTTGTTTGGTCGCTTTTGAATTTGCTTTTTCTTAAATGGATTTTGTTGTCTCTTTTTAAAAACTAGATTCTACCTAGAAATCTGTGTTTTTCAGCTTATCCTGAAAAATCAGAAGACCTGGCGCTTATGGGCAATACTTTAATTGTGGAAGCAGTTGATGACAACAGGAGAACTTTTGCTTTAGATAGGATACAGGCTCTTCACTTTGCCACAGTCCCCACCATTTCCTGTTATTTTACATACCTTTACTCACATTTCCTGTCTGGTCTTTAGGTATTTGAGTTTTTAACCTTTGGTGGACAGTGGGAAATTGGAAAGTTTTGAGGAGCGTGCCATGATTTATGTATTCATTAATTAATTCCACAAACATTTATTAATTAAACATATTCTAAGTTGTACTATGTTCAAAGATTAATGAATTCCAGCCAAGATGTGCCTAACAATCTAGTGAGAAAATGATGAAAACAGCATTTAGGAAGACAGTGGTATGTGGATTTAATAATGGAGACATTCTCAAGTAGAAGACCAGTTAGTAGGCTATAACAGTCCAAATCTGAAGTCATAAAAGGTAGAGTTTAAATAATTTTTTTTTTTTAATAGAGGCATGTTTTATTTATTTATTTGTTTGTTTGTTTGTTTTTGTTTATACAAGCACTGGGTACAGTCAGAAGCGCGGGAGGGTGAGAGAATCCACCAGAGCCAGAGCGGGGAGCAGAGCAGGCAGAAGGACCGAAGGACACTGCTGAGGGGAGCAGTGGGCGGCAGGAGAGGTCTGCGCGCC